TGGTAAAATGCTGATTCTGATTCAGGAGGTCTGGAATTCAGTAGGTCAGAGATCTATTCAGCTCCCAGCTAATGCCAATGCTGCTGATCCACAGTCCACACTTTGAGTATTAACATTCCCACTGTTGATACAGATGGAATTTGCTTTGGAGTAGTACTGATAAATTTGCATCCATCTATTCTCCTCTTCCTCACCTTTCCCTTGTGACTAATGAAATAGATATTGAAGAGATGTAATCTGTGACACAAAACCAAATGAATTGCTACATGTAGGCACTGAGTCTTCAAACACGACATCATTGCAGTTACATCTAGAAAGAAATAGATACATCATGTGACACATGGATGTTCCTGTTGGGACACAAAGAGTGGCAGTATTTTGTTTTAATGTTCACATCATAGGATCAGGCCTCAGCTTTGCCACCAGTAAGGAGACTCCTGGGCTCTGACTTACCCTAGTAAACTCACCAAGGACCAATGCATGTAACCTGTGGGGCAGGTTCATCCTTTCTGTTCCACAGAAGGTCCCTAGCTATGCACTAAAGAGGAGAAAGTCAGGGAATTTATCTATATTGTCTCTGTTGATTATCTTTCCCATCTAATCATTCTAATATTGGGGTAGGCAGGTAACCATTAAACTTTTGTGAACAAGGATTATCCCATTCTAAGATCTCCTTTCCATTTTCCCTCAGATGAAAGACACACTTAGCATCTGAATTGCAGTGAAGGATTACGCAGTTCTTGTGCTGAAGGTTTCAACTCAACCAAAGATTATAGAGAGTCACAGGGGAGGTTAGGAGCTATGTCTTTGTTTAGGTCATTTCTTTTCTTACACCAAAAGAAAACAAGTGCAATATTTCACTGCATAGGTTTTAATAAGAAGTGTCTACTGGACAATCCCCAGTTCCCTTAGCTCTCCCAGTTCTCATCAGTGTCTCTCCAGTGAAGCTACAATCACTTTTACTCCTAACATTCCTAAAGAGAACCTACAACTAGGTCTGTGCCCTGACTGGGAATCAAACCTGCAACTGGACAGCTCTCCAACCAACTGAGCCACCTGGCCAGGGCTTGTCATCTTTCTTAAAAAATAAACATTTTCAATATTTGGCCAAAAGAAGGCCATGTAGGTTCTTGGCTAGCAGGACGGTTGTTGCACACTTGGACTGTCACCTTCTCCAGGCTGGTAGTTGATATCTTTTTTCCAACTTATTTTTATATTAAAAATTTAAAAATGCATGCTCCAACCGAGGCAGGATAGTAAAAAGCTATGAAAATTCCTTGGCAAGTGGAATGGGGAAACAGACAGCTGAACACTGGCTGAGCAATTTACAGCCAGATAGAGAAGGTCACCAGGGCAGAAAGCCGCTGGTGCCTAGCAATGGGCAAAACTGGCATATCCTCCCTTGGCAAATCACTGACCATGTGGTTTAGATCCCCGTGACCTTTCATATCACAAGTCATGGGATGTAGACACCCTTCCACCCAACCCCCCCCCCCCCCCACACACACACACCTTTCCTCCCTGGAGATAATTTCTAGGCCTCCGTTGTATTTCGGCTCCAGGCGCAGCAACACAAGGTAGGCAATGCTAGGACCAACTGTGATGACTAGTGACCCCTGCCCTGATGCCGACAATCAGTGGAGCCATGACCTGAAAGGATACCTGGAAAAGCTGACGGATATTCTACTGAGATCCTGCCCTCAGACCTCCCCTAAATTCCCAGCCTTTAAAACCCTCAAGATGAAGGACCCTGCTCCTACTCTCCCACCCTCCCGGGAGCACAACAGCACCTTTCTCTTTTCCCTCTTCTTCCCCCACAGGTGTGCATCTCCTAAGCTCTAAGGCAGCAGTTGCCAGCCTTTCGGACATCACAGGCCACCAGTGGTCCACGGACCACAGGTTAGCAACTGCTGCTCTAAGGGACCCCACCAGACTTGCAACCAGGGGAGCTATGGGCAGTAGCCGCTCACCCCATGCTAACCCCTGAACCTGTTCCCAAGGCCCCCTTTTTCTGACTCTCCAGTGAGCTGACAGCAGCCCCCCTCGGCTCACTTCTTTCCTATAAGCTTTCTAGAGAGCCAAAGCAGCCCCGCCTAGGCTGTCTCCTGCTGCTGCTTCTATCCTAGGACCTTCCTTGTTCCACTGTCCCAGCTTGAATAAGCATACTCAAAACCACCTGGACTCTTTCCTGCATGAGGTCAGGAACCCACACACTACAGGCAAGCCAGAGGCAGACCCAGTCTGGCCTGGCCCCCTTTCCGGTTGCAATTGTCCTGACTGCTGGCTCAATGATTTGTATTTCATTCTGTATAAAATTAGAGTTTTTAAGTAGAGACAGGACAAGATTAAAACTATATTTGTTGTTCTAGACCTTGTGATGTATTTCCCAAGGCGACATGTAATCATACACTCCCCTCACCATACAAAATGTAGTACTTAAAATTCAGTCGAAACATGAAAGAAAACCACTTTGCTTTCGTGTATAATGAACTTTCTATCATGGCTGGAAAGTTAATTAAAAGTTAAGACTTCCACAATCTACAGTCGAGAAAACTCTTTAATCAAGAAGAAAAAGGAAATTACAGGAAATTTTTTATTTAAAAATTAGCATTTTTCTCTTTTTAAGTTCTTATTTCCTGAGAAGAAAAGAAAATTTTGAGACTGGGAGAGATTTCTTGTCCTCAGAAAGCAGTTTTCTTTTTTTTTTTTTTTTTTTTTTTTAATATATTTTATTGATTTTTTACAGAGAGAAAGGGAGAGAGATAGAGAGCTAGAAACATCGATCAGCCGCCTCCTGCACATCCCCCACTGGGGATGTGCGCGCAACCCAGGTACATGCCCTTGACCGGAATCGAACCCGGGACCCCTCAGTCCGCAGGCCGACGCTCTATCCACTAAGCCAAACCGGTTTCGGCAGAAAGCAGTTTTCTTGAAATTCAATTATTCTCATTCAAATTCATGTTAATCAATATCTGGATTTCTTTACTTGTCATGTAACAAGGAATATTTCTTTCTTAGAGCAATACAATGTTGTAAGAATTAAAAAGAAAAAAAAACAATTACAGCTACATAAAATTCTTGATCATTTTAAACTACCTTTTCTTCCTTTATATTTTTTAATTAGAAGTGGGTGAAGCTCTAGCTTCTGTGCTTACTGATAGAGTTAAAATCTATGGAACTGTAAACTCTAGTGTAATTAAAAATTAAAATGATCTCAGTGTTTCCATGGAAATAAAGACCTCATGAATAAAGAATTACTATTATGCAACTGATATAGAAGTCTGTTACTGTGAAAGCCACACATTGTTTTACAGCTACTAAAAGCTAATGTTTCTGTTTTGTTCTTGCCTATTTCCCTTGGTTAAATTCTTCTTGAAGGTCTAAATATACCCATGTTTTTTTATTACTAAAAACATTACAATATATTTTCAAATGTTAATCAAACTTGAAAAGGTGGAAAGATCTTAAGAGAGTGTATTTACATAAGAATTTCAAGATCTAATTGGCTTTAAGCAATTCATGAACAGGATCGCAACTAGAAGGATGCTCTAGTCATCTTTTAAAAGCCAAAATTTGTATTGCCAACCAACCATATTTTAGGTAAAAGCAAAATAAGTGAAAAGTTAAATAGTTTATTAAAAGCTGAATAATGTATACAAATGGTTTTTAAAAATTGATAGTTTAAGGCAGTTAGTTAAGCGCCCTGGCTGGTGGGGCTCAGTTGGTTGAGTGTTGTCCCATGCACCAAAATGTTGTCAGTTTGAGTCCCGGTCAACCCCAGTAGGGGGCGTGCAGGAGGCAGTAATTGTAAATACTTCAAGTATGGAAAGTGGTGTCTCTCATACGAAACAAAGTGATTTTTCTCTTTTAGACCTACAATACCGTCGTCTTATGAGGTATTTTGGAGGAAAGGAGAGAAGAACAGAAGGATAAACAGAAAAGAGAAAAATGAAGGAACATAAGAGAAAGTGGAAAAGAAGAATAAAGGACTTTATATTCAAATCTGATTTTAAGGGATCTAAAAGATTTCACTTTTAAATTTTCACAATTTTCTCTTGCCTTTGCCAAGGAATCTTTTAAGGAGGCAATTTCATAATTCCTTGAATATATTTTGAAAGTTTCTTCTTGCTTTAAAATGTGGACAGGCCCTACCTCAATTGGTTAGAGCATTGCCCTGATATACCAAGGTTGTGGGTTCAATCTCCAGTCAGAGCACATACAAGAAGCAACCAATGAATGCATAAATGAGAGGAACAAAAAATTAATGTTTTTTCCCTCTGTCTCTCCCTCTCTTGCTCCTTGCTCTAAAATCAATAAATTAAAAAATGTGTAGACAATTGTATGTTTGGGATACTGCTCCCTTTGTGCTTCAAAGTGACTCCCAAAGGAATGATTTTGTTCATATAAAAAGTTCCTCAAAGTAACCACTGTAATTCCAAATAATGCTTATATCATTTAGAAACTTTAAGATTTGTTTTGATTCTAATATAAATACATATAAGATGCAGGAGTTCAACCCAGTTGGGTACAGAACTAGACTAAAAATAAACCTATGAGTCTGGCAATAGTCAGTCAAATCTTGTGCACCTTTGTATCTTGGGGACCACCCCCTCCAAAAGAGAACTAGATCTTCATGGATAAAATAACACAACAGTGAGTAAAATTTGATAAGATTTTCATAAATGACGAGGCATTTTTCCAAAGGATGCCAGTCTGAAGAGAAGTCTTCTGAGTAAACTGGCTTACACCCATCTTAATACCTCTGGATGTCTTCTTACAGATTAACAATGAAGAAATGACAAGGACAAACACACAAAAGTATTGTCAGTAATAATGCAGATTTCTACCAAAAATACATTTTTCAAACTTGATCAATCTGGATTTTTAAAAAGAGCCTCTTATTCCTAGATACCACTCTCAAACTAAACAAATTAAACAGCATTTGGAGTGGTTGATGAAGAAAAATAAGAAATCAAAGCTGAAACTCAATATGAACTTACCTTACCATCGTCATTGGAGAGACCCTGTGCAGGAAACTCAAAGGGCCTCAGAAAGCACGCTATTTCCAAGTTGACCAGATTTTTATAGGACCTCCAAGATCATCAAATGCTGGCTCCTTTAAAATACCTCCAAAATAACCTGTTGACAGAGCAGAACTGAGTTTTTTGCTTACTGCAGTAAGGGAGGATATCTTAATAGTCTTTGTAGTGTCTTATGGGAGAAGTCAGAGGAACAATATTTATGAGTTTTGGGGATCTAGTTTAAGATGAGTTTCAAAGCAGGGGATCTGGTTGGGATTGGGACAGTTTTTACATAAGAGTATTTTATATAAAATAGTGTTTACACCTAGTTTTTGATTGGACAGAGGGAGGTGAGAGTTTGGAAGTGATTCTTTCGCAATCTTCTGCCTTCTCACAGTAATCTGCTGTTCCCTCCACAACCTGCATTGCTCACCAGCCTGGAACTTCTTTAATATACAATGCTTTACCTTTCAGTAAATAGTACTTATCACACCATTTCACAATTGGCTGATTATGTATATGTCTGCCAATACACAGTGAGTCCTCATGGGGTTAGGATGAGGTTTTGTTAATATATCTCACAGTCCGCAGGTAATAGTGTCTGGTTCTCAATGAATAGTTAAGTCACTGTTGATTGTAGCTGGAGTAAAACAAACATGCTGACTAATCTGAATTTCAATTTATGAACATAAACCTCAAATGAACCCTTAATCAAGTAGACCCATTAATAATACAGGGATGGGCAAAAGTAGGTTTATAGTTGTAATACAAATAAATAATACAATAATAAATAATACAAGAAGAAAATGTGTTTCATCTACTCACAACAGTAAACCTACTTTTGCCAACCCCTTGATTATACTTCCTTAGTCTAATTACTCTCCTACTAGCTTTTGTCAACTCCTGCCACACCCACCTTCACACTTACCAAAGGACCTTGCTTATTTCACTGAGAAAACTGAAGCAATCAAAAGATAATTTCCACAAACTCTCATTTGTTCCCACCTACTAGCATCTTTACCCATGTAGGCTGCCTTGTCATCTGTTCATAGATGAGGTATCCATGCGTCTATCTAAAGTCAGGCCCTTTCCTTGGGTGCTAGATTCCATCCCCTTTCTCTTACCCAAAGACATTTCTTCAGCAATTCTCTTTCCTTGACTTTCCCAGCTCTCTTCGGGTTGTTTTCCAATTATTTTCTATAAGGACACACCAAAATCTTAAATGCAGATGGTCATTCATTTAAAAATATTTCCCGCCGGGACCGGTTTGGCTCAGTGGATAGAGCGTCGGCCTGGGGACTGAAAGGTCCCAGGTTCGATTCCGGTCAAGGGCATGTACCTTGGTTGCGGGCACGTCCCCAGTGGGGGGTGTGCAGGAGGCAGCTGATCGATGTTTCTCTCTCATCGATGTTTCTTGCCGGGAGCCGGTCCATCCTTGCTGTTTCAAAGGACCTGGCATATATGGCATATTGTTCTTAATATGTTTGCTCACCTTCTTGGCACTATGTGTTTTAACCAAGGTCTCCTCTCTGAGAAAGGTTGTTTCCCCAGGTAGGGATTTTCCCCTGAAGTTAGGGAGGGAATAAAACCTCTTAACTAGTGCCAGGTGGGTAATTAATCACTTTAACTACGAACAATCATGCTTAAGCTACATAATCTTTACTCCCTGGAATGAAGATAAGAAACGCCCTAACCTTTGTAATAGAGATTGATAGGATTGAATCAACTGGTATAAATACAGATGTAATAAGACAGCAAGAGACAGAACTTAGAGACAGAACTTAGAACACAGAACTCAGAAGACAGAAGGAAGAAGACAGAACCTACACACAGAACTTAGAGACAGAACTTAGAACACAGAACTCAGAACACAGAATGAAGAAGACAGAACTCAGAAGAAGGAACCTACACAGACAGAAGAACTTCGCTGGAGAGAACATGGCAAAAGATCCTGCACTGAACCTGACTACAGAAATTGGCAAGAGAACCTGACTAGAACCTGGTGACTGAACCTGGCTGGAGAACCTGGACAGAACCTGGCTGGAGAATCTAGCAAGGGAACATGGCTACAGAACCTGGCTGGAGAACCTAGCAAGACAGCATGGACACAGAACCTGGCTGGAGATCCTAGCCAGAACTTCGCTGGAGATCCAGACCAGAACTTGGCTGGAGATCCTGGCTACAGATCCTGGCTAGGCTGCTGATCAACTGAACGCTGTCTCCACGTCATTCCTTCTTCGCCGACTCCGTCCACACCTTTGGGGACCCCTGGACCTGCTGGGGTTGGACCCCAGCAGTTTCTAACTCTCTATCTCTCTCCTTTCCTCTCTGTAAAAAATCAATAAAATATATTTTAAAAAAATAAAAAAATAAAAAAAATAAAAATATTTCCCATGCATCTACCACTGTGATACATCTATGAATAAAAAAAAAGACAAAGGCCCCTGCCCCATGCAGTTTAGAATCTAGTAGGTGGAGACAGATTAATTACAAAATTTATTTTATATATATATATGTGTGTGTGTGTGTGTGTATATATATATATATATATATATATATATATATATATATATTGATTTCAGAGAGGAAGGGAGAGGGAGAGAGAGATAGAAACATCAATGATGAGAGAGAATCACTGATCAGCTGCCTCCCGCACGCCCCACACTGGGGATGGAGCCCACAACCCGGGCATGTGCCCCCGATGGGAATCGAATCCAGGACCCTTTAGTCCACAGGCCTGGTGGGCTGGTGGGAATGGGCATCCTTCTCATCCCTTGTTAGCCTCAAGAGTTGTTCCCTCACTGAGTCAAACCAGCCAGGGCACTAAGTTTATTCTTGAGGGAACAACTCTTGAGGCTCACAAGGGACCAGAAGGATGCCCATTCCCACCAGCCCGAGTAGAAAACCGCATTAACTCAAAAGCACAGTGTAGAATACTCCAAACGGTTTTGCTTTAACAGTGGGACAAAATGAACACTAGATTAAATGCTGCTCTGGTCCCACTTAACAAGGCTTGAAAGCAAGCCTTTCCAGAAACAAACTGTTTTCAAGACACCTGTGTCCTAGACAAAACTCAATAATATTTATATAAATACAAAAATATCCAGTATCTAACAAGGTAAAAATTATATCAAGCGTGCAATCAAAAGTTACAAGGAATTCAAAGCAGGAAAACATACAAAAATAATGAGCAGAAAAATCAATCAACTGAAATTGTCTCAAAAAAAGTTGACAGAATTAGTAGAAAAGGACATTAAAATAATTTTTTAAAAAATATTTTATTGATTTTTTTACAGAGAGGAAGGGAGAGGGATAGAGAGTTAGAAACATCAATGAGAGAGAAACATCGATCAGCTGCCTCCTGCACACCTCCTACTGGGGATGTGCCCACAACCAAGGTACATGCCCTTGACCGGAATCGAACCTGGGACCTTTCAGTCCGCATAGACACAGATAACCATATGGTGGTTATGAGGGAAGAGGAATGGAGACTAGTAAAAGATAAACAGGGCCAAATACTAATATATGGTGATGGAAGATGATTTGACTGTGGGTGGTGGCACACGATGCAATATACAAATCATGTATCATAGAAAGGTACACTTGAAACCTATATAATCTTATTAACCAATGCCATCCTAATAAATTTAATTTTATGAAAAGATAAATTGGATTTTATCACAATCCTAAACTTCTGCTCTTTGAGAGATCCTGTTAAGAGAGGTGAAAGATAAGCTATGACCAGAAAATAAATATTTGTAAATCACATTTCTAATAATGGACTTGTATCTAGAATACACTTTTTAAACCTCTATAATAAGAAAACAATTCAGCTGAAGAATGGGTAAAAGATTCAAACAGACACTTCACTAAAGAAGATATACAGTTGGAAAAAACAAAACAAAACATGAAAAATGCTCAACAGTGTTCATTAGAGAAATGAACATTAAAACCACAATGACTTATGTGGTTGTTACTAGTATATTACTACACACCTATCAGAATGCCTAAAATTTAAAAGCCTGTCTATACCTAATGTTGGCTAGGATAGAGAGCACCTGTAACTCTCATACATTCTTGACAGAAATATAAAAGGCTACAGCCACTTTGAAAAATCAGTTGAAAATTTCTTAAAAGGTTAAATATATACTTAACATATTTATTTACCCAAGAGAAATGAAAGTATGTATCCATACAAAGACTTACACAAATGTTTATAGCAGCTTTATTTGTAATAGCCAAGAACCATAACCCAGATGTCCATCAACAGGTGAATGAATAAGCAAATTATGGTATATTCATACAATTAGATACTACTCAGTAGTAAAATGGAATAAATTGTTCACCCTGTGACATAAATTCCAAAAAACTATGCTGATTGATAAAAGTCAAATAAAAATGTTCATACTATATGATTTCATTTTATAAAATTGACAAAGCAAATTGATCTTTAGTGACAGAAAGCAGTTTGGTATGTTTGGGGATGGTGGGGTGGGTGTGGGAGTAAAGGAAAAGTAGGGATGGATTACAAAGAAACACTAGGAATCTTTTGGGGGTGATAGATATGTTCATTATCTTAACTGGAATGATGGTTGGCTATATGTATACATATATCAAAACTTATCAACTTGGCCCTGACCGGTTTGGCTCAGTGGATAGAGTGTCGGCCTGCGGACTGAAGGGTCCCAGGTTCGATTTCGGCCAAGGGCATGTACCTCGGTTGCAGGCACACCCCCAATAGGGGCTGTGCAGGAGGCAGCTGATCGATGTTTCTCTCATCGATGTTTCTAACTCTCTATCCCTCTCCCTTCCTCCCTGTAAAAAATCAATAAAATATATTTTTAAAAAAACTTACCAAATTGTACACTTTAAATATGTGTTTATTATATTTCAATTATACCTCAGAAAAGATATTTAAATTAAAAACTGCTGGTATCTGCCTCCCCCTTTTCCCTCTGGTTTTAGAATTCATTTTTATGAAGATATAATTAACATAAAACATTGTCTGAGTTTAAGGTATATAATATACTGATTTTTTAATTTATGTATCACTAGAGGCCCAGTGCATGAATTTGTGCACCAGTGGGGTCCGTTGGCCTGGCCTGTGAGATTGGGCCAAAACTGGCTCTGATATCCCAGGAGGGGTCCCAGATTGCGAAAGGGTGCAGGCCAGGCAGAGGGACCCCACCAGTACATGACCAGGGCCGGGGAGAGACGTGGGAGGTTGGCCAGCCGGGGAGGGACTGCGGGAGGGCTCCAGGGCGTGTCTGACCCTTCTTGCTCAGTCCCGATTGGCCGGAGCCCAGCAGCAAGCTAACCTACCGGTTGGAGCATCTGCCCCCTGGTGGTCAGTGCACATCATAGCAAGTGGTTGAGCTGCCTTAGCATATCATTAGCAATTATGCTTTGATTGGTTGAATGGCTGACTGAACACTTAGCATATTAGGCTTTTATTATATACGACAATATGATTACCATCATAGTGTTAGCGAATACCTCTGTCTCATCACATAATTTTTTTTTTGTGGTGAGAACAATTAATATCTAGTCTCTGAACAGCTTTGAAATTTATAGCACAGTATTGTTGACTATAATCACTGTGCTGTACATTAGATCTTCAGGAGTTTGGTTGTAAGCTTGTACCCTTAGACAACATCTCTCCTGCACTCTTACACCCATATCACATTCTCAAAGGTTTTCCATATTAACCATACAATTTATTAATTTTTCTCATGAATCAGTTCAGGACTCATTAATAAGTGAGTTTTTTAAAAATTCTGGTTTTATTCCTGAAGTTTTAACAATTCACTCAATAACAAATATTTTTATTATTTAAAAACAGAATTCATAGTTAATATACATGTGGCAAAATACTAAGGCTTTGCCATTACAACTATGTTAATTAAGTAGAAATGCAGGTATTTAGAATCAAAACAATACACCATTTAAAATGTCTAAAGCCTAAATCAGCTGATGAAAAAGAGTAAATCTTCTGGAGGGAGAAAGATTTTCTATGATCCTGAAAAATAGGCAGAGTGGAATTATGGGGAGATAAAAGCATAGAGGGAAAAATTAATGCTACTTCCTTTTTAAATAGCATACTCTGTCATTACTCAAAAAATATAATGCTATACTTGAAAATGTCACAGCACCAAAATGTGGGGAAAAGGAATTACTAATGCCTTACTTTGCACATTGTTTTAAAATGTTGATGGTTGGCTGAGCTGAGATATATATAATATTATATATATTATATATATATATAATATTATATATATAATCTCCCCAAATGTAATGATAACAGTTATCACTGGCAGTTATGCTTAAAAACTTTCAGATTCCAAATTGAACATAAATCTACTACCAGAATTCTCAGATATTAAAGTATTTATTCAGCATCTTCAAAATGAACAAAACCACCACTATCCCCAAAGTATAAAAAGAAAACTAACAAGTTTAAGAAAAAATGCACAGCATTTTAATGAAAAAATTACATTATAACAAGGACACTATACATTAAGTTACTATATACATATATATATATACACACACACTCTTAAAACTTTTTTTAAAAATCCTGGTACAAATTAAATGACAACTTTCTCATACTCACATGATTAAGTATGTACTTTGACAGAATATAAAGATGAAATACAAGCTGATGAACCTCAAAATCAGAAACTTCAATGCAGGACCAGACCTCAAAATCTGATTTCCATTACTTTTGTAACTTTTAGAAAATATTTACCTGGTATAAGCATACACATTTTTTTCTTTTAAGTAAGTTAACTGCTTACGTAGAAAATCAGTATTTAGGAAAATGCCCACCATAGCTGTGTTTATCTATAATTCATTGTAGTGTATATAAAGTTCACTTGGAGGCTTGGAACATAAAAACTACAATGAAGAAACAAGCTCATCTGTAATTATGAATTTCTAAGCACTTATTCTGAATGTCCAACTTACTACTTCAGATATTGGACCTTGTGATATATGACACAAAACAGCATCTGTCCAACTTTGCTGTAGAGCTGTTAGGAGAATGCCAAATAAAGATACCGAAAAATTTATGCACTTGTATTCAACACCCTGCACATTTAAAAGATAACTGAATATTTAAAATATGTAAACATACTTTTACAAAAGTGATACTAAGCACCTTTATAATACAATACTGATATATTGTGACTGAATATGCATTCAGAGGACAAATGAACTTTTTAAAACTAATTTAAAAACCATTTTAAAGAGCTACTCATTGAAATACTTACATGAAAATATTGATAGTTCCAGTTTCTACCTAAAAACCAAAAGAGTATATAATTAGGAATTTAAACTTCCTTCATCCACTTTTCTTTTCTTTTGTTTTTTGTTTGTGGGGAGAATGGATGGTAACTTTCTATCCTCATAATAAAAGAGAAAAAAAAACCAGTATCAGAAGAGACGTTCACAGCCCAGCCAGCATGGCTCAGTGGTTGAGAGTCGACCTATGAGCCAGGAGGTCACAGTTCCATTCTGGGTCAGGGCACATGCCTGGGTTGCGGGCTTGATCCCCAGTAGGGGGCATACAGGAGGCAGCCGATCAATGATTCTCTCTTGTCATTGATGTTTCAATCTCTCTCTCCCTCTCCCTCCCTCTCTGAAATCAATAAAAATATTTTTTTAAAAAAAGAGACATTCACAGAGAATAAAGTGAGAGAAATATTTCTAAACTATGTTTTGTTCTTGATTAACTCTGAATTCTTGGACATCTCTCATCCTCATCCATAACTGACTAGAGTTTGTATCTTAACAAGCATTTCTCCTTAGCAACTCAACATCAAAAAATAAAGGAATGTTTCCAAAGAAATACAGTTCAATTGGTAAAATATTTAATAATAAATTATTATCATTAATGAAAGGTGAAGATTATATAAAATATTGCAAAAATGTTCCATAAAAAGTAGAAATAACAAATGAAAAGAACATTACCTACAATGGAACACTAAACTATAAATTAATTTGGACTTATTCCCTTAGTACACACAAACTAAGAGAAATCTGGGTTTGAGGTAACTAACAGTTGTGTTTAACTTAGCATAACATAACAGATCTGGCAGCCTATCTATAAATGCTGGTATCAAATATTTTCATTTATTAGGAAAATGATAAGCAAGTCTTATTAAAAATCATATATGTAATTGAATATTAATTTTGCATTAAATAGGGGTTTAAATAATAAATTATATATTAAATAGGATACAAATCTAAAGAGCAAGGAATTTTAAAATTCCACCCACTTCTAATATAACAGTGCTTTATACTTATACATGTTGTGAACCTGAAACTATTAAAGTGAATTAAAAATGGAAGATTGGACTTAGAAAAGGAAAGAAAATTCATATTCATATAAAGTATTATGGTTAAATTCCATATTATATTGCACATGCTTTAAGTGTTAAACATTAAAATCCATTTGAAAATCTTATTACTTTTAAATATATCCACAGATGGTCTCTGAAGGAAACAAGTCTTTAAGTTGATTTCTTGATAGTTATAATTGACCTTACGGAAAACAAAAGCTTATATTGAATATTTAAAGTAAATATACTTACTCAACAAGCAAATATATATAACACATCAGTTGTTTTAGTTTTAATATAAACTAAATTTTAAACTATTAATATTTACCTTTAAGTACTATAAATTCTAATACCATCAATTCAGTAAAAACTTTGGCATAAAAAAATAAATACAACTCAAATCCTTTCCTAACCAGAGCTGAATCTTCAATATAAAATAGGAAGGAATCCTCTGCTGATATAAAAAAGTTCCCCAAATTATCTGTAAATACCATGGAATTTTATTATTCTTTCAGAATTCTTTCCATTTCTACATTTTTCTACCCATAGGTAGAGTTGTATTACAATACTGCATAAATCCATGTAATATACATTAATTTCTGTTGCTTATCTGATTAATTCAAGTTAAAATTCTCAGTACTTACCAAGATCCTATAAATTCCTACTAGATTACCATTAGTGTGCTATTGGTTTGAGTTACAAGTATAAAAATCAGAATGAAAGACGCTAAAATGCAACTATACACAGTTTCCACAGATGTGAGTGCTGGGCTTCGTGTTATGAAGTAAAATCTATTGTTTATTTTTCCAAATGAGAGACTACAAGTCTTCTCTCACCTATCTGCCAATTTAAAACATTTCTTCACAACTTTAAAGAGGGAATAAGTTCTTTTAGAAATTTTAAAAAGCATCACACACGCTCGCGCGTGCCGCGCACACACACAGGCACGCACGCACGCACGCACGAAGTTTTTGTTCTTTTTCATTTTTTAAGAGCCAAAATTAGGTATTTCCAGGGAATAAGTTAGATAACTATTTGTGTTCAAGCTATGGATAAGTTACCATGGATAAGTTCAGATAGCCTTTTGAAATACTGGCCTCATCAGATACCTAAAAGCATAAGAATTATACAAAATAAGAAGTGTAAAATATCTCTTAAAGTAAAAATATAAAATTGGCAACAAATATCAGTTTTAAATAAAAGCTACTCATCAAACCAGTCTTCAGTCCACTTATCACACTGCTGAGGTTTGACAATATTCACCTTCTTTTCTATGACATCAGAGGTCACCAGAGTTGTACAGTTCAGAAAAGCTTCAACAATTTATGTAGCAGATAATTTCTTATAGTCCAAAATTTTTTTTTGCTTCCATAGACAATGCTGGTTCTTTGGGTTCCTGTTTAACTTGGTTCACAGAAATGGTACCTTCTGGGTTTTCTTCAACTTTAAAAGAAAAAATAAAAGAAAAACCCTAAAGGTTAATATAATTTATAACACAGGGATCTTTAGAATTATATAAATTAGAAGCAAAGCATAAAACAATAGTTTGGAAAAAAGAACTAGGTAACTTAGAAAGGCAGTTGGTATATTTGAGAATTTAGTGCTCCTGACATCCTAATAGCCATTCATGTTACATTCCTTCAGTATGCTTCAAGTAATGAAAAAAGGAAGAGACAAGAAATCTATGAAGTTATTCTCCTCTGAAGATACTTTGACAAAAACGTAGTCCATAATGTGATAAAATTATAAGGAATAACTAATATTTAAACATAACTGTAAAAGCATCTGTGACTGAAAGTTAAGAAGCCTCCCATTATTTCGAAATAACTTGTTTTGCAAACAGCAGGCATATGTATCATAAATTCACAAATGTGTTTCCATTGCCATATGGTTTTCACATGTAGTCATATATTAAGAAAATGTTCCCTCTCTAAAGAAACTTCACTATATAAGTACTTTAGAAAAAATACCACAACTTAAAACAATAGTTCTGCACGAGCTATGTGTTTGCTGATCTAAAATATTTCAGAATAGCCTTGGCTGGTGTTTCTCAGTGGCTAGAGCGTCAGCCTGCAGACTGAAGGGTCCCAGGTTCAATTTCAGTCAAGGGCACATGGCCAGGTTGCAGGCTGATCCCCAGTAGATCAATGGAAAAATATCCTAGGGTGAAGATTAACACCCCTCCAAAAAAAGTAATATTTCAAATAAATTTAAAAGACAATAATTACTTTCTGGAAGGAACTACTTCACACTTTTCTTTACCCAGAAGAATGATGATTAAAAATGTAGGGAAAATATATGTTCTAAGGATAATTTCTATTAAGATTTTGCTTTTCAAAGCAAATCGCAAATCTTTTCCCACTAAACTGCCCAATCCAGAACAATTAGTGGAAAAAGAAGTGACATAGGTCAAGTAGGAGTTAACAGTCTATTACTATGTTGACTGGGCTCATTACAAAGTGAAGGTAACAAAGTCATGTATTATACCCAAGTCCCCTTTCAAATTCCACAGAACTCGACATTTAAGTCTATAACTCAAAATTTTCCTTTAAATCTTTATATCTGCCCACTTCATTCCATTTTCATTATGTGCATATTAATTTTTCTATAGTAACCTTTTCACTAAATAGTTTTCCCTTTAAAGTTTAATTTTTCATGGATTCTAACATCACCATAGATTTTCCTGATCTAACATCACCACAGATTTTCCATGTAAAGATAGGTAATTAATGAATAATTACAGTAGAGAAAAAAAATAAGTTTGTTATTAAAACATATGCTCATAAAATGTTTTCCCTTTTTCTCATAGCTTTACTTGATTTCTTTACATATTATAAACCCACTGAGTAGAAATGATAGTTTTTTTTCTGTAGTGTAGTGACGATAGCTCATAAAGTGTTTTTAAAAAAAATCTTAAGATGACTTTAACTTACTAAGAGGTGGGTGGCTGTCTATAATTTGTATTGGAATGGTCTGTACATTTCCCAACAGAAACCTATGAACACTTCCTTCCAGATTCTCTGTATCCTCAGCATCTCCAACGTCCACCAGCTGATCCACTGCAGCCACATTTTGATCTGGTGCTGGAAGGTTACCCATGGTAGAGGCAATACTGTTGTTTGGGGTAAGGCATGTATCTGTTTGAAGGCCATGACTTTGACCACACTGTAGAGCATTATTATTTATTACGGTACATCGTATTGAATCCAGAGGTCTTGAAGGACTAGAGGAGAGGTGGTCATTTACTGATATCAGAGCCGGTGATCCATCAGGAGAAGTGAATCTTGGTTGCAACTGTAAACCCTTTTAAATCAAAAAGAGTTACATCAAAACGTCTGAATTTACTATATAATAGTTCTCATAGGCTGTATTATTCTTTTGACACAAAATTGGAATAAAATATAAGAGTACAGTTGTAAACAAATATTATGTGAGGACAGAAATAAGAACCAAAGGAAAAGTAGGAAAACTAAATTTTATTGCATGCATAGTCCACTCAAACTTTTTCAAAATGTATTGTTTAAATTATCATTTTAAATCAAGATACAAAAAGTCAGGAAATTAACAACAAAAACATCTTTGATCAGTATTATAATTCTATAACCAATCCATGAGGAGGAGGAGGAGGAGGAGGAGAAGGAGGGGGGGGGAGAGGGATGAGGGGGAGGGGGGGGAGGAGGAGGAGGAAGAAAGAAGAAAAGGTCTCAAATTTGGCTATTTTACTGAATTTCTACCTGTAGTTGTGTGAATATTTTTGGCTGAAATGAAGAATGTGAGGAGGAGAGCAAATGGGCTGATTCTGGAGACAAAGAACCCCTTGTCTGATTTGTTTCCACTTTGGTGGTAGACGATTCTTCTGGTGAATTTCCTAAATTATATAAAAAATAAACTATTAAAACAAAAAATGTACGGCTTCTAGGATACTAGACTTCATTACAACCTTAACTATCAGGAAATAAGGTAAAAGGTTTGAAAAGAACTTTAAGAAGTTATCTAGTCCACTATTTCCAGAACATGGTAGATTATCAGAATCACTAAGGGAACTTTAAAAATATATAAATTCCTAGGTTCAACCTCTATTAAATTTAATTCAGTACATCTAGGATATACTGGAAAAGGAAATAATTTTTGTTTTCCTTGAAAGACTCTACATCTGTAACTCTAATCAAATCCATTTTCCATGCCATGATTCTGGATCATACCTAAACTTCTCTAAATCTGAGAAAACTACTGAACCTCTCAATTACACGGACCAAACTTAACTCATCTTTGGTAGGCCCAGGACAATGCCTGGTATAAAGTAGGGCCTCAATAATAACAGTATTAAATTTCTTTCAATAATTCATTAAGGAACAAATGTTTTCTCAATATTTCAATTTGTAAAGTAAATTGTCCTTAGGGAATTTGATTCCTTCTCATGTAATTCTTATGTTAACCCAAGTATATTCATCGTTTTAAATCAATCACAAACCAATTACCAACAGCCATCTATTGCTTTCATAAATGGCACTGGTGTCAGACAAGGATGGCTTTTTTCTGTAACCTTCAACATGCTATTTAACCCATTTCTAAACTTCAGTTTCCTCATCTGTAAAATGAGGATAATAAGGGAATCTTCCTCAAAGGACTACTGAGAGGATTAAACAGGACTCTCACATTTCTTGCCTTTTTCATTTCTAATTGTCCTTCTACTTCATTCTGCTACGACTACTATGGTCATACCCTGGACTACTCTACATCTAAAATCTCTAATTCAAACATCCCATTCTCTGATCACAACTTATCCTCCCAGGTGATTTTGCTCAGGTGCTCCATTACAAATTGTTCTTCAACCTCCTGTGAACCTCTAGTCAAGTGATTCCTCAGTTTTCTTCAGATCTATCAACCTCTTTCTTAATAAAATTATCTCCCCATCCAGCTTAGCGTGCTGGGTTTATAATTTTAGTCTCACTCTTGGAAATATCCTGAACTCCCTTGTCTCTCTGTCTTTGGGTCATACCCACATAGTAAAACCCTCACTCTGGATGAAAATGGCTTCCACTGCCTATACATGTGAAGCCAAATGCCACTGAAGAAGAAACTCACGGCTACTACCAAAACCAATTCACGATCATCAACATCAACCTGATGGTCACCTGTATCTGACAACCTTACAATGTTTCTCTTTCTCTGTATTAGGGATGATATCTAATCTCCATTGTCTTAAAATCTTGGCCACTCTTCCTGAGATCTCTCATTTTTAGCACTCTTACTTCAGAGAGAAAAGAAAAGCTATCAGATAGAAATTTCTTCAGCTTCCCATCACCAAAGCAATCAAATATCTTCATCTTCACCTATTTCTCCAGATATCTCCTGTCTTAAAATGCCTTCTCTCAACCCCATAAACCCTTCATAGCAAACTTCTTGAAAAAGTAGGCCACATTGTCTCTATTTCTTCATCTCCCATTGACTCTTCATCCACCCATATGGCTCCCACCCAATCCACTCTACTGAAAGGGCTCTGATATGAAAGCTTTCCAAACCTGGTCTCATGATCTTTTTCACTCTCCCTTATGGTCACCAATACCTATTCTTATGCCAGTGTTACTGAGCTCAGTAAATGCCTCTATTTGTCAGCTGCTCGTGGAAGAAACTCAGGAATCATTCTAGATTATTCCCACTCTTTTACCTCCTGCACCTATTCAATTGATAACCAAGGCCTTTAGTTCTACTTTTAAAATAACTCTTAAATCTGTCCACCTCCAATATGAATGTCCCGTTAAACCAGCGTCGTATTTCAAAGGCACAGCTGAAAGAGCCCCCTAGACCTGTTTTGCTTATTCAGTTTTATCTCCAAGCATTATCTATGCTGAAAACCACACTAACTCTCTTAATTCCTTGAATATGACAAGCTCTTTCTTGCTTAGCCTTCGAACATGCTATTCCTTTGATTGTCAAATTCCTATTTATTCTTCAGTTCTTAGTCTAAAAGTCACTTTCTCAAGTGTCATTTCCCTACTCTCTGGACTGTTATATGTCTCTATCACTATTGCCACAAAATTTTGCAAAAACTCTCTCATGGTGCTTTCCCTAACAGTGATTAATTAGAACATATTGTTTGGTATCTTTTTCTCTTGCTAAACTTTCAATTTAATCAAGAAAGAAACTTACTTGTTCTCCATTAGGCCTGCCATTTATCACCTTGAGTGAAATATGCACAGAACAAATGAATAATGCTAAAGAGTTTGAAAGTTATCTGTAGTCAGTGACTCAAAGGTTAATATGCCCAAGAATAAAGAAATAATTGTGAGAGAACCAAGATGGCGGCATAGGTAAACACCTGTACTTGCTGCCTCTCACAACCACATCAAAACTACAACTGAAGACAAAACAAATATCATCCAGAACCATGGGAAAGCTGGCTGAGTGGAAGTTCTCCAACTAGAAGGAAAGGAAAAAGCACACTGAGACTGGTAGAAGGGGTGGAGGTGTGGAGGCACGTGTGAAACCAGCTGGCAACGGGGTGCGCTGTAGTTGTTTTCAATCGGGAGGGACATACAAGCTCCCGATTGCTCTGAACTCCAGTTCCCGGCGAGACCCTGGGGACCCAGACTCATACAGGGAGAAACTGGACTGTCTAGCATCGGGATAGGAACGCGAGGGCGACTTTCTCTCAGAGGTGCTTGCAGAGATCATTGTTCCTGCATGGGGGCACGGGATGCAGAGACACGGAGATGCAGGAACCTCCCCGGTGCAAGGCTGACTGGCAGCCATTGCTGTTTGCTTGCCCTGGTGATTCCCTGAGACCCTGCCCCACCCAATTTACAACCCCACCCAAGCTGTGCGCAGTGGCTTTTGCATATGAATGGCCTGTTCTTTCGCAGCCTAACCTAACAAACTGCAGCTGGGTCAGAGAGCTCCAAAACTTCCAATAGAAGTCCCAAGGCTCCACAGCAGCAGCCTGCCTTGATTCACAGCTGCGCCTCATCTGGGCACTTCCAAACCCCAAACAAAGGAGGAATCTGCAGATCTCTCTGTAGCTCCTGCGGGGTGGCCTCAGGCAGTGGCTGACTTTGCACCTCCTTGGAGATCCAAGAGCCAGTGTACCCAGTGGTCAGTGTGAGACTATACCAGATTACAACTCTTCACATCCATAAGCGACACACTCAAGGGGCAGACTCAGTGAGCACCAAAGCCTCACTGAAGCAAGTCCTGCCACATAAGGGTGTCTCCAGCACAGCAGTTCTCCCCTTATAGACATAGCTGGTCCTCACAGTCAATTGGCCTGGAGATCAATTCCTCCCAGTAATACCAACAGCAATCAAGGCTTAATTAACTGTGAACACAGCCCACAAAGGGGTGCACTAAGAGTGTCCACCTCAGGTGATTGTGGAGGCTGAGCCACTGGACCCTATAGGACACCTACCACACAAGGCCCCTCTATTAACACAGGGAAGCAGCCAAAATGTGGAGACAAAGAAACATGTCACAAATGAAAGAAATGGAGGAAAGCAAACTACTGGATACAGAGTTCAAAACCACGGTTATAAGGTTACCCAAGAATCTTCTAGAAACATCTGAGAAATTTAGTGAGACCCTCAAGGATATGAAAAAGGACCAACTAGAAATTAAGCATACACTGAGTGAAATAAAGAATAACGGACAGAGATCCAAAGGCAGACTAGAGGGTCTCAAGAATCAAGTCAAAGATTTGAAATATGAAGAAGCAAAAAACACCCAACCCGAAAAGCAAAAAGAATCCAAAAATATGAAGATAGTGTAAGGAGCCTAGGGGACAACTTCAAGCGTACCAACATCTGAATTATGGGGGTGCCAGAAGAAGAGAGAGAGAGCAAGATATTGAAAACCTATTTGAAGAAATAATGACAGAAAACTTCCCCTACCTGGTGAAAGAAATAGACTTACAAGTCCAGGAAGCGCAGAGAACCCCAAACAAAAGGAATCCAAAGAGGACCACACCAAGACACATCATAATTAAAATGCCAAGAGCAAAAGACAAAGAGAGAATCTTAAAAGCAGCAAGAGAAAAACAGTTACCTACAAGGGAGTACCCATACGACTGTCAGCTGATTTCTCAACAGAAACTATGCAGGCCAGAAGGGAGTGGCAAGAAATATTCAAAGTGATGAATAGCAAGAACCTACAACCAAGATTACTCTACCCAGCAAAGCTATCATTTAGAATTGAAGGTCAGATAAAGAGCTTTACAGATAAGAAAAAAACTAAAGGAGTTCATCACCACCAAACCAGTATTATATGAAATGCTGAAGGGTATTCTTTAAGAAGAGGAAGAAGAAGAAAAGGGTAAAGATAAAAATTATGAACAACAAAGTGACAACAAATACATATCTATCAACAAGTGAATCTAAAAATCAAGTGAATAAAAAATCTGATGAACAGAATAAACTAGTGAATATAATAGAATCAGGGGCATAGGAAAGGGAGTGGACTGACAATTCTTGGGGGGAAGTGGGTGTGGGGGGTGCAGGAAGAGATTGGACAAAAATTTTATACCTATAGATGGACGAGGACAGTGGTGGGAATAAGGGCATGGGGTGGGGTGGGAACTGGGTGGATGGGAGCTATGGGGGGAAAAAGAGGAACAACTGTAATAATCTGAACAATGAAGATAAAAAAAGAAATGATTGTATTCTATATAGTTATTCATAAATTTATTCTAAAGCATTTTTTAGGTGTTAACTTTTTAGCAGGCATCATGCTATGAACTAGTTATATTAACTTGAATAAAATACAATCCTTGTACCCCTGAGGAGCTCAAATCATAATGAAGGATACAGACGTGTAAACAGAAGGATACCATGTTAAATGAAGAGGTAAATACAAAAGAGTAAATAGATAACTTTATACAGGGGGTGAAGTTAAGAAAGCACTTACAGCCAAAGAGATTATTATTTGAGTAGTGAGTGGAGTTTGCCATGTGGAAGAAGAGAGAAGACATTTCCAAAAGAGAAAAGGGGTTGAAATAAGTTTGGGCTATTGAGAGAACACAGGAGTTAGAACATACGAGAAAAATCAGTTTCCTGATCAGAGTATCTTAGTATGAGTACTGGAATTAACCTAACTTTACAGTAAACTGTGATAGAAATCAGACTCAAATTTCAATCATAAAGAACCATAAGAGCTGATTACAAGAGGGAATTTAAATAGCTGGAATTATTTTGATAAGTCCTAACATAGTTACTCTTTTCTCTTTGAGCCATGATTTCCTTATCCATTAAATTTGATTAGATGAGATACTATCTTAAATGTCTTCCAGTTTTAACATTGTTTGATTTTATATTTTTAAAGGTATTAAGATAACCTACCTTCTGCAAATGTTACTGTCACAGTCTCTCTGAGAATATTCCCACTGTCTGTAGTCCACTGAAGCTAAAAAGGGAACATTCACTTCAGTAGAATATTAAAAAATATTTTAAAACAGCAATACAACTGTCATATTCCGTCAGAGTATAATTATGTTTTATTCTGTAATTACTCTTTTCACTTGTTTATATTCTCAAAGCACAAGTATACTTCACTAACTAAATGCATTAGCTTCCCAAATTCAGATAGCAAGACTTTGGTTAGAAAGTGTAGGTGGCAAAGACCATTGCTAACCAAATCTGTTTTCATTCCTGAATTTGGGATAAAGAATAATTAAGAGTTTTGAATAGCAAAGACTAATAGCTCTAGCTTTAAAAAAATATCTAAATCTATTAATCTATTCAGTTACTGAATTTGGATAGTAAAAATGTGGAGAACAAAGAATATTGTTGCTGATATTTTAATGCCATAATCACTACCTGCATTACAATAACTAGTTTCTGGGTAATTATATTAATCTCTTCAGAGCAGGAAAAATTTTTATAGAAATTACCAATATTCAGAGGGAAACTATCACAGTATGAAGTAACATTAACCCTTTTCAGTCCAACGTCGAGGCTGACTCGACAGACCAGGTGCTAGGAGCAGGTCCAACGTCGAGGCTGACTCGACAGACCAGGTGCTAGGAGCAGGTCCAATGTCTAGGCTGAGATCGACACCGCAAACAGGTTCAACATTCAATCCTGTCAATTAATTTGAACCAGACTATTTGAATTCCAAAAATAAAATTGGACCGCAAAGGGTTAATATCCATAGGTGGAATATAGAACATTATTACTTTGTTTATTCAAGTGTGAACTATTCTATTTAAATTTACCCATCTACTTAAAAAGGGGAAAATATACACAGCATGTAATCAATAACTGTCTGTTGAATGAATAAGGTATACTTTTTAGAGATAAACTATGCTGATTTTTAAATAAAGATTACTATTATTATTATTATAGACAGAGTTGGATATTCAGTGGTTTTTCTTCTTGTGAAAGCAAAAAACAGATTTAGTTAAATCATCACTTAAGAGTTCCCAGTATTTACGTTTTAAGAAAAATACCCCTATTTTCTCTTATATCATAGTTACTTACATGGCCTAATTGCAATCATCCCTATTAGTCCAAATAGTAATGGAGGCTGAGAAAGATTATGTAATAAAACAAGGAATTACAGTTGTAATCATACCGTTGCTGGAATAATCTCTGAGTTAGATACATTATCTCCATTTCTCAAGGATTTCTGTACTTCATGGATGTGATTTTTTATATCATTTACAGTTGGAAAAAAGGATAAATTATGTCTTTCAGGTACCTCATCAGATTTGAACAGTTCTCTTTCCACAAATTTTCTGTAGATAATATAAAATAGAATAAAACATAATCTAGTGATTTACTTTAGATCACATGAGATAAGGTTCTCTTTTTAGCATAAACTAGTATAAAACATGGCTTATAGCTTTATAAGTACTTTAACTTTTTCCATTTTCATTTCCCTACCTTAAATCATAGAATTCATGTGATTAAAGAAATGTAATATTTACATTGGTTAAACAACTGTATATCTTAGAGTGAGCTTTACATTTTTATGATTTAAAGGAATCACTATTTTCAATTTAAGGATGTTTTTGAATGCCTACTAGGTCAGGCACTGCACTGAACACTTCACATCAAGTATCTACTCAAACCCTTAATATAATCCTTTGCATTCCCACTTTATGGATAAGGAAACTGATAGGTTGCAGAAGTTAAGTAAACTGCCCCAAATTGTACACTTACCTAATAAGTAAGAGAGCTTGGGCTCTCACTCAGATTATTGGTATAAATATCATGTTATGCTGCTTCTAAAAGGCATCAATTAATATCATATAAAATATGATCTGCTTGCATTTTACAAGTAGACAAAACAGAAGATAGAAACAGAAGGCAGTACTGTCATATAATTATATAAAAATAGATACATAAAAGAAATTAATACATAAATTTTGTGCATTACATTAGGTAGACCATATTGCAGAGGTGTATTATACCTCTGTCCTTAAAATTCAGTTTTAGTAAATAGTGAATGGCTTTACCAAGTTCTGGTTCTAGTCTAACAATGCCTCAATGAAAATAAATATAAAAAGCCTAAGAAATCTGCTAAATAATAAAGTAATGTATTAACTAAGGAATAATCCTAGAAAATACTCATTAGGTTATTCAGATCAGACTACACAACAACGACTACAAACAGGTCAATTAAGTACAAGAAATCATGGCAAAGAGTACAGGCTGTAGATTCAGACCTAAGTTGCAGTTCTGCCTCTATCTCTTAAGCTAGTTATTTAACCATTTTCTCATCTGCAGAACGAGGAAAAATATACCAATTTTATAGTAGTAAGAATAAACGAGAACATGCATGTCATGTACATAGCATAACACCTGGCACACACATGGTAAGTGCCACATGACAATAATAGTTACTAGTAATTATTATATCCTGAGTATCAATAAAATTAGATCAGAGTGCTACATATAAAATTTCATTAGACAAAGAATTGTCCATATTCTTCTGCTGTAATAAAATATATTTCAAATACCTTAAAATAAGTACCTTGACCTAGAGGTTTTAAAATCTTTGGTTCTATACTTAAATGTTACACTCAAAACCATAAAAATCCTACAAGAAAACATAGTCAGTAAAATCTAGTATCTTTCTTATAGCAGTATTTTTTTCTGATCTATCCCCTCAGGCAAGGAAAAATAAAAATACAAAATAAACAAATGAGATTAAATCAACTAAAATGTTTTTGCACAGTAAAGGTAACCATCAATAAAATGAAAAGACAACTCACTGAATGGGAGAACACATTCGCCAGTACATCTGATTAGGGGTTAATGACAAAATTTATAAAGATCTTATAAAACTCATCATCAAAAAAACAAATAATCCAAATAAAAAATGGGCAAATGACCTGAATAGATACTTCTTCAAAGCAGACATACCGATGGCCAATAGACAAGTGAAAAGATGCTCAATGTCACTAATTATCAGAGAAATGCAAATTAAAACCACAATTAGATATCACCTCACACCTACCAGAATGGCTAACATCAATAAGTTAATAAATAACAAGTATTGGCTGGTATGCTGAGAAAGGGGAACCCTCGTGCACTGTTGGAGGGAATGCAGATTGGTGAAGCCACTGTGGAAAGCACTCTAATGGCATATTTACTGAAAATTTCTATAATATTAAGTGTATTACTTAAAGCAACAAACAAAAATGAAAAACATATTCGAGCAATTTGTTTCTACTGTACCTTAGATGTTTCCTTACTGCATACACTTGTTCTATTCCTTGTGATACTAATTCTTGAATCTTATGTGCTACTTGAGGATGTAGACGTGAGGGTAATGTACAATTCTCATCCCTAATTGCAGTTTCCTCTTCTTCCAGAGAGGACACAGGAAAAGGGGGAGGTGACAAAGGGAGGGAGGGAGTCTCCAATTCGTGATACTGATGAGCTTGCTGTGTAGGTAACTGTACATACCACCTGACAAGAGAAAATATTTAAAATTATATTACTAGACAAAGGCAAGAATCGTAATTACATCTGGTAATACTTATCAAGAGAAGGAATAATCCTTTATGAAAAAATTATATATTATTATATCATATTAAACATAAATTTAAATTGCCCTCTGCTTAACTTTTCTAAGATTGGCTTTAAACCCAATTACATAAAAATCTTTTTTTTTTTTTTAACAGACTTTTTACTATGGCCCTAAAGTTAAGGAAAGTACAGGATTTAAATATATATGAAAATGGTATTTTAAATCTTCTATTAAGTAAATTTCACCTCAAAATAATGAGACTTTTTATAACATCATCTTTTGAATTGTGTACTTTTCCACTCATCTACCATTTTGTCCCCAGATTACAACCCCTGTGTTGCACCTATTATCCTTCCAACCAAAAAGTGGACACAAGATTGAGCTATGTGGGAGAACTGTCTCTGACAGGAGCTCAACAAACTGCCTGTACAGCATTCCAGCTCCTGTTACCCAATGAATAAGACTAAAAGGTCACTCATACAATAGTGCAGTGCACAAAACAAAAGAAAATGAAACGATCTGGTAGGATACTGTTTTAATTGATATATCTGTACAAAATGTTTGCAATGACTGATATTGCATAAAATGGAGCCTACTTAATTAAAAGTTATATGCAATGCTCTCCAAACTGAAAGATCTAATTATTGAGTCTATTTATTTTTCATACATCTGAAAGTTTTTTTAAAGATCATACAAAAACTATGACCCATACCCTTGACCCCATTATACAACTGCAAATTCTAGACTGACACATAAAAGAAAACTAATATTTCTTCTTATTTAAGACCTTAGGGAGCCAAATATGAGGGCAGAAGATGAGTTTACTTTGGGTGGTAAGCACATAGTGTAATATACATATCAAGTATCACAGAAAACTCCACTTGAAATCTATATAATTATATTAACCAATGTCACACAATAAATTTACTAAAAAATTAAACTTAAAAAATTTTAAAACCTTAGTATAAAAGATATAAAACAGAATTTTAGGGCTTAGGATTCATTTCTGGCTGCTACAAGTAATCAAACATGGGTTAAAAAAATATTCAAGTAACTACAAGTTTGGTTCCTAGTAAGTATCTAAAACAAAGTACTAAATACAGTATATAGTGAAATGTGTTGCTAAAAATGTATTTGTCATTTTGGAAAAAAACTTCCTTATGGTATACAGAATTGTTTGGTCAAATTTAGCCATGATATCTGGCTGATAAACTCAATGGCTTATACCAGGGGTGGGGAACGTATGGCCTGCGAGCCATAAAAGGCCCACGAAATCATTTGGTCTGGCCCTGCCAAGACATTAGGGGTGAGTTAATTAAATGTTTGACCAAATATAGCAGGCTAATTTTTTTCTTTGTTTTTCTTTTTTAAAATTTATCTTTATTGTTGAAAGTATTACATATGTCCCCTTTGTTTGTTCATGTTTCTTCCCCATTGATCGCCTCCACCCCACCCTCACCCCGTCCCAAGCCTTCACCACTCTATTGTCTGTATCCATGGGCTGTGCATATATGCATATACTAGTAAATTCCCTAGCAGGCTAATTTTTAAGTTGAAAATTTTGTATGGCCTGCAAATGATATTATAAATATCCAAATGACTTTTAGCAGAAAAAAGGTTCCCCACCTCTGGCTTATACAGTGTCAAATCATTTTAGTACTTAGGGAACTACTAGTGAGGCATCCACCTTATAAAAACCGTTAATAAAATAACTGGAAACCGTAATTATTATTTCTCTTACAGAAGGAATTCTTGCAAATGGAGCTAATTTATAAAATAAAATAACGTCATATAAATGTCATACCTAAAAACACCACCAGCATCTACCAAGTTCTTCTTTAGCATGTTAAAGGCTTTCTCTTGCTCCATTCGTATTATTTTCTTATCAATTTTGGGGTCTGTAGGAACTCTATATTCAGGAAACTTTTGTACCTTTTTAATGTAAATTCTTTTTATAAGAAAAAAGAGAATTTTTTTATTATATTGAAATCTCAAGAAAACCTAATTTATCAACCAGAAGTTTATTTGAAGCATTGAAATTTAGAAAAAATTCAATTATTCTAGAAAGCGTTCAGAGGATTATGTGAAAGGCATGCTATATTCTCAGTGCTTCATAATACTTAGCAAATTAACAATAATCATAATTTCAGTAAAAATACCTAAATACTTCTGGATATTAGTTGTTGTTTTTTGTGTGTTTTTTTCTGGATTTGCCACTTCTTCATTCTCCTGGAAGCCATCATTACCTCATACCAGGATTACTTTACTAGTCTCCTTCTGGCCTCTGGACATCCAGTCTTTCATTACTTAAATCCACTTGATACATCAATGCCACAATAATTCTTCACATTTGCACTTCTCTACTAAAGAATCTATCTGCTCTTTAATGAAATAAAATTTCTTAGCAGCATTCAGGGCATTCCATATGATTCTAGCTTTTTACCTAGTCTTTTTAAATATATATAGATTTTTATTGATTTCAGAGAGGAAGGGAGAGGGGGAGAAACATTAATGATGAGAATCATTGACCAGCTGCCTCCTGCACAACCCCTACTGGGGATCAAGCCCACAACCCATGCATGTGCCCTTGACTGGAATTGAACCCGGGACCCTTCAGTCTGCAGGCTGACATTCTATCCAGTGAGCCAAACCAGGTAAGGCACTTTTTACCTAATCTTACTTTCAATTACCTCAAATATAAAATTGCTTTTCCTATGAAGGTTATATCATCTCAATGGAGAAATCATCCTTCTTCCTCTAATACTAATACCAAATATACAATCATGCCTATCTTTATTTATATAGTCTTCCTAGCCTACAATTTATTTCCTTTAACTCTCTACCTATCCAAATTCAATCTAAACCTCAGCATCCAGGCTTTCCATACATTCTGTCCTATTAATGTGTTTGCATGGTTATATTCTCTCTCTGAAGATAGTTAGCTAATCCATACGATACACTATTATGTTCTCTAAAAGTGTTGTTTACTGATCTACTCCAACAACATTTTAAGTTCTACATGATTAAGGAAAATCTTATACTTGTTTTACTCTCCCTACTTCCCATGGCACCTAAATGTAGTTGCTGGGCACAGAGTAGATATTCAGGAAGTACTTATAAAAAAATAGAGAATAAAATTATTTCTTCACTTATAAAAATTTTTCTACCAAGTTACATGTAAAGTTTTAGATCTATTACCCTATGCAAAAATCAGCTGAAAATTTACAAGTCTAATTAAATAAATGATAAATTAAGTAAATGATAAATTAAGTAAATAGTCTATAAGTAGACTATTATATGGCTATTAAAAAGAAGGAGCCATGAAACTAATATGTTATATGTCAATTATATCTCAATTTTAAAAGTAACCTTAAAAATGTTTTTAAAGAAATAACCAGTGCTTTTATATACAGTTATGACAGCTTTCGGATATATTTGGAATGAAGAAAAGCAAAGTGTATAGTAGTATATATCATTACATTCAAACTAGTCTGAAGCATAATAGCTGTCTAGTAAACAATCACAATGGGCATTCAGAATGAAAATAAATCAGTGTGAATTTATAGAAGGAAAGAAGGTACACTCCTACCGAACTTTAAAAAAAGAAAATATTAGTAAGCTTTACTGAGATATTTAACATTTATGAGAGTAAAGTCGTATACAGCAATACGACTTATTAAAATAAAGTGTACACACACACATATACACATATATGTATATGAGAGTAAATGAGAATATATATGCATATGAATATACACACACACACACACACATATATTCATATACACAGAATAACTTTGGAAGGTTATTCAAGAAACTGGTAAGAGTTGCTGCTTTAAAGAGGGACAAGGGAGCAAGGATAAGAAGAAAATCAGATTTCACTGTATATTTTTTGGAGCTGCTAAAACTTTAAAAAGTGAATATTAGCTACTCAAAAATAAGTACTTAATAAGAAAGAAATGAAAGCTTACCGGGCTGGACAAGTGGCTTTGTAGAGGTGACAAGGCCTGCTTTCCTGCTCATTGATCTTTTTTAACTGGAAACCTCTTCTCCTTGGCCCATACTGACACTCCATTACCACGGCTCTACTCCCTGTGGGCCAAGACCAACTATTGATATTATATCAAGTATCTATCCATTCTGGGTACTAGATTGAAAATAACTTGGTGGTGGCTATATCAAAATCTATACTTTATTATACAACTTCAAGGAAAGAATACAGCAATATGACTTATTAAAATAAAGTGTACAAATAAATTTAAAAGTTGATTGTAATATTGAGCAAACGTACCACATTATGTTAAGTAAATGAGTATTACATTTACTGAATGTCAACTGGTATTTACAACATACATGATTTTAATAAAATTTACTATTTTATAAATAGAAATTAGCACATGCTGTATTTGTGAATAAATAATGTCATTTAAAATTATATTTCCTTTTGTAATTACTTATTTCCTTTTTTCTATTTTGGGCTGTTATAATAATGTAATAACCAGTCACTAAGATGACCCCCAGTGATCCCTGCCTCCTAGTTCTCATGTCCTTGTGTGATTCCCTTCCCTTGAGCATGGGCTAGACTTACTAACTTCCAATGAACATAGCTGAATTGACAGGACATTATTTCTTATATTAGGTTATTTAAAAAGTCTGTGACTTCCGTCTTGAGTACTCTCTTGCTTGGATTGCTCTCTCTGGGAAAAATCAGCGTCACGTAGCGAGGCAGCTCTATGTAGAGACTCTTGTGGCAAGGAATAAGGTCTGCTACCAGCTGCATGTGTGAGCTTGGAAGCAGATTCCCCCCCACCCCCCCACCCCCCGGCACACATGAGATGATTGCAGCTCCAGCCCACACCTTCACTGCAGGCTTGTGAGAGAACCTAAAACAGAACCACCTGCTTAGCCATCCTTGGACGGCTGACCCCCAGAAACTGTGAGGTAAATGCTTGTTGTTTTCAGCCTCAAGTGTGGGGTACTTTGTTACACAGTAATAGATAATACAAATAAGTAGATGTAAAAACTATACAGTTAAGATTTTAAGTTGAATATCCTATTCTAGGGTACAGCAAACTTCTAAAATATAAAAACAAAAATGCAAATCATAAATTAAAATGTTGATAAAGCTGACATTAAAATATAAAACCTGTATTTAAAAGGCACTGTAAAGGTAAAGTAAAAACAACAGTTTGAAAAATAGTATTTTATAAGGCACACAACAAAAGATTAAAATGCAGAATATGAAGAACCATAAATAATTTTTTTAAATAAAGAAACAACCAAACAGAAAAATGGGCAAAGGCTAAGAACAGGCAATTCAGAAAGAAAAAGGATATCAAACTAACAAACAAAAAGATGTTCAACTTCACTAGTAAAGAGGGAAATACAAATTGAAACAATAGTAAAATACTATCTCACATTCCTCAAATGGCAAAAATTTTTAAAAATTGATAATAATCTAAAAAAATTGACTACACTGATCAAGTTAACATCACTAAAAGGCGTCACACATAGGTAGCAATAAGGAGGCAGAACTTATGAAGTATTCTTGCAAAAAATACTTCTATGAAAACTGAATCTTCACTTAATTAAGCCTCTAAATCTAACAGTTTATAGGAAGTAGAGGAGATAAAAGGACATGTTAAATTACACCAGAGATAGAACCAGCAAAATCCAGAATATGGCAAACTCTACAGAACAAACTATCTGAGGGGAAACAGGACAGAAACTTTTAGATAAAAATAAATGTAAGATATATTTTAACCAAATATAATCTTTGACCTCTGTTTGGATATGAATTTGAACAAACCTATGGAGAAAATAATTGAGATAAATGGAAGAATGGGAACACTGGACATTTTATGACATTAAGAAATTACTGGTAATTCTTTTAAAGCATGATAATGGGATTCTCCATATATATATATATATATATATATATATATATATATATACACACACACACACACACACACACACACATATATACATACATATATACACTAGAGGCCCGATGCATGAAATTTGTGCAAGAGTAGGCCCTCGCAGCCCCGGCTTTGTCTGGAAGGTTGTCTGGAAAGTTGTTCTGCTGTTCAGCCATCCAGTCTAATTAGCATATTAGCTCTTTATTATATAGGATATATACTATATATACATATACATATAGAGAGAGAGAGAGAGAAAGAGAGGAAGAGTCCTTATCTTTTAGAGACATATATTTTAGTATATACTATATACTTAGTAATTGTATATGAAATGACATGAATTTGCTGTAAAATTATCTTGGGAGTGGGGAATGAGGCAGTTGGGATATAGATAAGACAATATTGATAACATGCTGATAGTTGTTGAAACTGGATGATGGATACATGGAATCATGACATTTCATATATTATTAACTCTACTTTGATAGACATGAAAATTTTCATAATGTAAATATTTTTTAAAGAATAACAATGTGCCAAAACCGGTTTGGCTCAGTGGATAGAGCGTTGGCCTGTGGACTGAAAGGTTCCAGGTTCGATTCCGGTCAAGGGCATGTACCTGGGTTGCAGGCACATCCCCAGTAGGAGATGTGCAGGAGGCAGCTGATCGATGTTTCTCTCTCATTGATGTTTCTAACTCTCTATCTCTCTCCCTTCCTCTCTGTAAAAAATCAATAAAATATATTAAAAAAATAAAAAGAATAACAATGCTAAATCATAGAGTGAATGTGGGAAAAGGAAATTTTCCTACATTGCTGAAAGGAGAAAAAATTGGTACAGGTCATCAATGCTTTGTGTATGTTTCTGAATCTAAAAAGCTCAAAAAATAAAATTTTTTGGAACCCATTTACTTACAAAATCTGACCTGAACTTTATGAAGCGATTTGTTGTCTTGATTTCTTCCTTAGTGTGACTATCCATAAAATATTACTGTTTGATTATGTGTTACTACTGGCCCGGTGCACGAATTCGTGTACATTGAAAGGAAATTAATTAGAAGAAATATTTTAATATCGCTATTTGCCATTTCTCTATAATAGAAGTGTCAACCAAATTTACCATCGACAATGACAGATGGAAACATATGCGTGCGATTGGCACCAGCAAGAACTTTATATGTATCATGCATGCACGAGTCAACTTAGCCTTTTATATATATACAATAAACTTGCTTAATTAGACCTGCCTTCTGATTTAGCTAAACTTTTTCCAGCCCAGTAAAGCACCACAACTTCTCTTTCAGGTAATTGTCAGCAACACAGCAGTAAATATCAACACAAAGCAGACTGTTATTGTAGATCACACAAAGAGAACAAAGGGTGAAATATTTAACTGCAGCAGCGTTTGACTATATTCTGTGCAGTGAGAAAACCTGAAGTCATTTTCAAGGTCCACCATTTCTCTTCAGGTGGGTCAAGTTTCTAAGCTTTCTAAATCTCTGTTTGCTGGCTAATGAAAAGAGAATAGGATTCTACCAAGTCTCCTATCTACCTACTCCAGGACTTCTGTGAGGATCAAATGAGATGAGGCACAGGAAAATGCTTCACAGGCATTTGGTTAAAGTGTACTGACTATGAAGCAAGTCATGTTCCTGGGCTGAAGAAACTCCAAGGAGGCTAGTAGTCACTAGGGAGAGGAAGCTGGTCGTTGCTACATGATGTCATTACCTGGCGCCCACAGCGACTGTTTCTGGGCTGGGCTGGGCTGCGTGGGGTCTCAGCAGCGTTGGCTGCGATTTGGTGGGCTGTCGCTCTGGGGTGGTGGTGGGGCCTGAGTCCCACTTGGGGGAAGCCCAGTGTTGCTTTGTCGGCACCAGGTCCACACTGCCATTTCTTTGTAAATGGCCAGGGCACATCGCAGCAGCTCCTGCATTGTGCGTTTGCCCTCTGGTGGTCAGTGAGTGTCATAGCGACCAGTCGGAGGGGCAGAGGAACACTTAGCATAGTAGCCTTTTATATATATAGACTAGGGGCCCGGAGCACGAAATTCGTGCACTGGGTGGGGGTGGGGGGGCGTGTCCCTCAGCTCAGCCTGCCCCCTCTCACATACTGGGAGCCCTCAGGCGTTGACCCCGACCACCCTCCAATCGCAGGATCGGCCCCTTACCCAGGCCTAACGCCTCTGCCAGAGGCGTAGACCCCCATCACCCTCCGATCACCTGATCGGCCCCTTGCCCAGGCCTGACGCTTCCGCCAGAGGTATCAGGCTTGGACAGGGGACCCCCATCTCCCCCCGATCACTGGCTCTGACCCCCGCCCAGGCCTGATGCCTCTGGCCCAGGAATCATGCCTGGGCAAGGGGACCATCATATCCCCCCAATCCCCGGCTCCGCCCCCCACCCAGGCCTGATGCCTCTGGCCCAGGCATCAGGCCTGGGCAGGGGACCCCCAGCCCTCTCCGATTGATGGCTCCGCCCCCCGCCCAGGCCTGATGCCTCTGCCAGAGGAGTTGACCCTCATCACCCTCCAATCGCCGATCACCAGATCGGCCCCTTGCCCAGGCCTGAGGCCTCCGGCAGAGGCGTTAGGCCTAGGCAGGGCACCCCCCGCTCCCCGTGGTTGCAGGCTCCGCCCCTGCCCAGGCCTAACACCTCTGGCCAAGGCATTAGGCCTGGGCAGGGGACCCCCAGCTCCCCGCGATCTCCCGCTTTGCCCCTGCCCAGGCCTAACGCTTCTGGCCGAGGGATTAGGCCTGGGCAGGGGACCCCCAGCTCCCCGCATTTGCAGGCTCCGCCCCTGCCCAGGCCTAACGCCTCTGGCTGAGGCGTCCGGCCCGGGCAGCGGGGACCCGCAGCGGCAGCGGCCCCGCGATCGTGGCTCCGCTTTAGGCCCAGGCAAGGGACCCCTAGCTCCCGGGACTGCCAGCTTCAACCATGCCCAGCTCCCATCGCTGGCTCCACCCCTACTTCCTGCTATCACTGGCCAGGGCGGCAAAGGCCCCCCGGCTCTTAGCTCCCCCCTGGGTTTCCGATCACTGTCAGTGGCAGGGGGCTTCTTCCTGCTTTCCCTTTCGCCTCCCTGCATTGTGCCTACATATGCAAATTAACCGCCATCTTTGTTGGCGGTTAACCGCCATCTTAGTTGGCAGTTAATTTGCATATCGCCCTGATTAGCCAATGAAAAGGGTAGCGGTCGTACGCCAATTACCATGTTTCTCTTTTATTATTCTCTAGTGTAGACTAGAGGCCTGACACGGGTGGGGCCAGGTGGGGGGAGGGGCTGCGGGCAGTTGGGGGTGCCTATTGGGGTCGGTTGGCCGCTGCTGTGCACATTATAGTGATCGGTCGTTCCGGTCGTTCCAGTCGCTTGGCTTTTATATATATAGATTGTCTACACAATACATGCTAGAAGTATTTTGTAACATTACATTATTATAGTCCAAAAATTCAAACTTCTAAAACACATGTGGCCAAAAACAATTGAGAGAAGGAATTTTTGAACTTGTACAACCACTTTAGTGAACAACTTGTGAGAATCTCTTAAAGATGAAATAGGCATAAGTCACAACTCAGTAATTCCCCTTTACACATAATTACATCTTTTCAACGAAAATGTATATTGTGGAGGTCTGATTATAGCATTTGTAATATTGAAAAGCTGGAGACCTGAATGATTATTTATAGAAAAGTAATTGTGTTTTGGTCATATGCTGGACTGTTATATAATAACTAAGTTGAGTTAACTGGGATTTAAAAGTATCAATATGGATAGATTTCAAAATAAGGGTGAGTAAAAAATGTACATAATAATGTCTACAATTTACTATTTATATATATTTTTAAAATATTCAAAACAACAAAATGTATAATTATAGATACAAATATGTATGGTAAAGTATAAAAACAGACTGGAAAGATACACACCAAATTCATGTAGTGGCTATTTGTGAAGAGTTAGAAAGGAATTAGAACTAGGGTAGTGAAAAATGTTGCATTTCTTTTATAGAATACTGATAAACCTGGGCACAAGCTACATTTATCTTATCTTCCTCTAACTATTTCTTTTTACCCTCAGAGGTCCAGGATGAGGCTGCAACTCTTCCAGCTGAATCAGTACCCACATAGTCCTGGAATAAATCACTTATTTTTAGGTTCTGTGGGGTCTGACTGGTCTTAGGGTAAATCTCTGGGAATTGTCTGAAACTCTACTGTTCTAGTAAACACTAGTGTTTGAGAATACTATATATAATGCATCTGTTGCTTGAGAACCCTGATATTAAAATTCTATATAAAGAATTTGTACACAAGACAAATCAAAAGAGGAAAGAATATCTGGAGATTGGATAAAAAAACAAAAACAAAATACAAGAGATATACATATTTAAAATAATAAAATTGCTTACTGTTTAATTTCTATTAAAGAGGTGTACCTGGAATCTCAATATTATTTTTTATTTTCAGCATAATATCAAAAGGAAGCATGATTTATTGAATATATTAAAATGCAATTTTACAAAATATTGGTTATATTTATTTTAAGTATTCTTTTTAGTTTAATATACATTTTTATCAATTAACATTTAGTTATCATCTACCAAAATGAAAACCACAGTTTCAGAATGGATCATGGCGACTGCTGAACCTTTTAAAATATTTCTTTTAAAAAGTACCTGTATTGACAAATGGAATTCCATCATATGGGACATACTGGGATTTCCACATCAAACGTGTAGCTGGCTTGGCTGGGCTTGGAGATTGGCGAGTCCCCCAAACACTCTGTGTTTGCTGCTTGTGAAACGTTAAAACACTTTCTAATTCAGTCTCACTTACACAGTAGCCCCGGTATGAATCTCCAATTTTCTGCATGTAGTAAAATTAAATAACAAAATTATTAGCAAATATGTTTCATTGTACAAAAAATTTAATGAGGTAATTGTCCAAGATAAAAGACTCATCAGCTCTCAAAAGACAATGTCATTTCTCCTTCAGATCAATGGTCTATTACAACCAGCAGATCTGGTCTGAATTCAACTAGCGTCCTCAAATAAGATACTGTCCAGGTATTTGTTAGAGAATGCCAAACTCACTGCCATATTGACTTTATCAAAATCTTGTTAGAGACAAATAATCTTTAAGGAAAATAGCTTGAAGAATATATCATGTATCCATTCTTCCAGATACTTAAAATTCTCCCCCCATATCCAACCAAATCAGCATAAAACTAGCCACAAGGTACTGGTTCCCTGTGGGGCTTCTTTAATGAAACTGATTTTGATATTATGCCATGAATTTGTTTGAAAACCTATGAAAACTGCGATTATCTTATATAAAAATGATGTCAAAGAATTTGTTCATTATATTAGCATTCTTTTCATGAAGATCCTTCTCTGGAATTCCTGTCTGACCTTAAGTGCCAAAAATAAGTAATGGGTTTTTCTTTTTCTTAGTTTGTGGAAATTAGCATAAATACTTTTATCTAATGGACACAGAACTTACTAATTAACTTGATTTCCCCTTTTGAATGTAGATGCTTAGAATATAGACAAGTATATATATATATGTCTCTGTATGTATATACACTCAATACAGTATACATATAATGTATTATAGAATTGTATACCTAAAACCTATATAATTTTATTAATCAATGTCATTCAATAAATTCAATAAAATGAAATAAAAAAGGAAGAAACTGGTGATATATATTTGGGCATTTTTATAAAAGTGATAGTTGAAAGTCAACAAAGTTGATAAGCTGTATAAGGGATAAAATGTAGAGAAATAAAATAAAGTCAAACAGTGAACTTTGAAGAATTTCCACTGAGAAGATGAAAATAAATAAGCACAAGCAAAGAAAGAGAAGGAATGGTCAAAAGATCAAAAGTAGAGAAAAATGATGGCAGCTGACCAATGATTCTCTCTCATCATTGATGTTTCTCTCCTTTTCCCATTCTAAAACCTATAAAAGTATATATATATATATTAAAAAGCCACGTTTATATTTTCATGAAAGACAAGGGAAGAAATGATAGTGAAGTGAGAAGATTTATATTATCTCTACTTTAATAGATCATACAAACTCTAAGGAATAAAAGAATAGATGAGAGATACAGCCTCTGCTAGTCGTTTTCAAAAGTAGACATTTTGGGCCTTAGCTGGTTTGGCTCAGTGCACAGAGCATCGGCCTGCAGACTGAAGCGTCACCGATTTGATTCCAGTCAAGGGCACGTACTTCAGCTGCAGGCTCAATCCCTCGCCCGGTCAGGGTGCCTGCAGGAGACAACCAATCGATGTGTCTCTCACATTGGTGTTTCTCTCTCTATCTCTCCCTCTCCCTTCCACTCTCTCTAAAAATCAATGGAAAAATACCTCGGCCCAAACCAATATGCTCAATTAATATTTGACAAAGGAGGCAAGAACATACAATGGAGCCAAGATAGTCTCTTCAATAAATGGTGCTGGGAAAATTGGACAGATATATGCAAGAAAATGAAACTAGACCACCAACTTACACCATACACAAAAATAAACTCAAAATGGATAAAGGACTTAAATGTACGACAGGAAACTATAAAAATTCTAGAAGAATCCAAAGGCAACAAAATCTCAGACATATGCCGAAGCAATTTCTTCACTGATACAGCTCCTAGGGCACTTGAAACTAAAGAGAAAATGAACAAATGGGACTACATCAAAATAAAAAGCTTCTGCACAGCAAAAGAAACCATCAACAAAACAACGAGAAAGCCCCCTGCGTGGGAAAACATATTTGCCAATGTCATATCCGATAAGGGCCTAATCCCCAAAATTTATAGGGAACTCATACAACTTAACAAAAGGAAGATAAACAATCCAATCAAAAAATGGGCAAAGGACCTAAATAGACACCTTTCAAAAGAGGACATTCAGAAAGCCAAGAGACATATGAAAACATGCTCAAAGTCACTAATCATCCGAGAGATGCAAATCAAAACAACAATGAGGTTTCATCTCACACCTGTCAGACTGGCTATCATCAACAAATCAACAAACGACAAGTGCTGGAGAGGATGTGGAGAAAAAGGAACACTTGTGCACTGCTGGTGGGAATGCAGACTGGTGCAGCCACTATGGAAGACAGTATGGAGTTTCCTTAAAAAACTGAAAATGGAACTCCCATTTGACCCTGTGATCCCACTTCTAGGAATATATCCCAAGAAACCAGAAACACCAATCAGAAAGGATATATGCACCCCTATGTTCATAGCAGCACAATTCACCATAGCTAAGATCTGGAAACAGCCTAAGTGCCCATCAGTAGATGAATGGATTAGAAAACTGTGGTACATCTACACGATGGAATACTATGCTGCTCTAAAAAGGAAGGAACTCTTACCATTTGCAACGTCATGGATGGAACTGGAGAGCATTATGCTAAGTGAAATAAGCCAGTCAATGAAGGAAAAATACCACATGATCTCACTCATTCATGGATAATAGAGACCATTATAAACTTTTGAACAATAATAGATACAGAGGCAGAGCTGCCTCAAACAGATTGTCAAACTGCAGCAGGAAGGCCGGGGAGGGTTGCGGGGCAGGAGGTAGGGGGGTAAGAGATCAACTAAAGGACTTGTATGCATGCATAGAAGCATAACCAGTGGACATAAGACATTGGGGGATAGGGGAGGCTAGGGGACTGTCTAGGGCGGGGGGATAAAATGGACACATATGTAATACCCTTTGTAATACTTTAAGCAATAAAAAAATAAAAAAATAATAAAAAAAAAAGAAAAGAAAAATACCATCCACTGAGGATTAAGAAACAAAAAAAGGTGGACATTTTGGGATGAATTGTAATTCATTAAGTGAATTTAGGTAAGGGTTGTTTTTAACTCACCTCACAACTCCTAAGACGACAGGCCCATATAGGTGTGTTAGAAGAAAGTGGCTGGAGAGGAGCCAGAAACGGTTCTTCAAGCATTCTGAGACCGGGGAGAAAAATATTTAAATATACATTACAAGTTACACATATACATGGCATTCAACTACTTTATTCTCTTAGGCAGTTTCAAAGACAAAATACTGAGGTCATCAATAAGAAATTAGAATCATAATGACAGATTGATCTGATGGGTATATTAATTATAATTTTATTTAATCATGACTATTTTAGTACCTGCTAACACAAATGCCCAAGTTTGTGTTTCCAAGTACCTGTAGTTCCAACAATTCAAGTATTTTATCTGTCTCGTTAAAATCGTATTTTATATTTTTCTCATTACATAATTATTTTCATGTATTAAAAAATGAGCTAATAAAACATCTTCAGCTGACTTGTTAAGAATAGCATGATAGCTGGCCAGTATAGCTCAGTGGTTGAGTATACAGGCATGCACCAAGAGGTTCGATTCCCCGTCAGGGCACATGTCAGGGCTGTGGGTTCAATCCCCAGTAGAGGTTGTGTAGGAGGCAGCTCATGGGTGTTTCTCTCTTATTGATTTTTCTAGCTCTCTCTCCTTCTCCCTTCCCCTCTCTTTAAAATAAATAAAAACATAAAGGAATAGCATGATATTATGTCAAGTTCTAAGACTAAAGGTCCTAAGTATTATGTGAATTTAAAAATATTTTCATAGATTAAAAAATACTAATAATACAAAAACCATGTCTAGCCCGGTCAGCATGGCTCTATGGTTGGGCATCTACCTATGAAGCAGGAGGTCACAGTTCAATTCCCGGTCACGGCACAAGACCAGATTGCAAGCTCAATCCTTAGTGTGGGACGTGCAGGAGGCAGCCAATCAATGATTCTCTCTCATCATTGATGCTTCTATCTCTTTCTCCTTTTCCCTTCCTCTCTAAAATCAATAAAAATATATTTTAAAAAGCCATGTTTATATTTTCCTAAATTATTATAAAGTGTTATTTTAAGGCAAAAGTAAAAGCTGAAATACATATTAACAAAACACATTTTAAACACTTTACCACAGAGGAATTAAATGCATAAAAATGTGATGAGACCATAAAAATTTTAGGAACTAGAATGAATATTTCTTTATTCTAAAAATTCCATTAGTGTCAGGTGTTTCCAGGTTGTTTCAAATACGATAGGCAAGCATCACTGAGGAAAAGCAGCACTCTGGACATTTCTCCTTTTAGACTAGCTTCCTTATTGCCAAGAAGCCATTAAAATAAAGATATGTTTGATGACAGTCTATTGTAGTTCCTGAATTTCTGATCTTTTCTACAGTCAGCCAGCTTTAGATGTAACAATTAAAAAACTGTATTTCCATGGTGATAACAAAAGATGAGCTCCTGTCCCCTTGACTCACCTGGTCACTGTCTTTTGGGGCAACGTGAGGGATGCTTGTGGATGCAGAATGTAACTACTGTTCTGGTCGGCGAGAGCATCCAGTCCTGCAGTTGGTAAGTTTCTGTTGCTGGGTTTCTCTTCAGAGGCAGCTTAACCACAATCACAAGAACAAAACAACATCACTATCTTGAATAAGACCATGAGAATGGAACTAACTAGAACTTTAATATTTGAAACAGGAAAGGGAAGATATGCTCTGAAGCTAAAGACAATAAACCTTACAATGCTTTATTGAGAATTTCTCTGATAAACTTGTTTACTTTCCAATTATAATACTGACTACTAAAATTCTGTAATTAAGTTTTTGGAACTTATATTGAACATCTAGGATATAACAGTGGTAGAAATAATTGTTATACATAGAGTCTGTATAATTTCCGATTATACATAATAGGAAAATGTAAAACTGACTCGTTTTTGTTTCTATACCATGTTTACTATGTTTTCTGCAAACTACGTTTTTTCCCCTTATGTTTTTTTTTAACAACTGTTAACAAAGACAAAGAATCATAAACATTAAGGTAAAAATATCTACCCTAAATCATAACTCTGAACAAGCAACAGAAGAGTGTAACTATGATGTTAGAAAAGAGATTCAAATAGATGAAATGGCAAGGGAAGCAAAAGGAAGAGAATAGTGTTATCATTAAATATGTGGAGAAAAAGTAAAATAAAAAGAAACTGGAAATATGAGTCTCCTTTCTGAAATTGAAGGAACAAAGAAAGAAGGAAAAGAGCAAAGAGGATGAAAAGAATCATTAAAAAAAGTAATAAGTGATATGACTAACAACAATACTGATAAAAATACATAAAAATACAAATGTAAAATCTTCTCCAGTAGCTATTAGCACTATATCCTTGTTATTATTGTTGGTATTATTACTGTTATCATAATTAAGAATTTATTTTATGCTCACTGGTCATTTGGGAGGAAGCAAGAGTCAACCAGCTTCATAGAATTCCAAAATGAAATAGACAGCTAACCTAGACAGGAGTTGAAAAATGAACTTAAAATTTATTTGGGCTAAGAAATTTTTTCTAATTATTCAGTTCACAACCTTACCAAAAGAAATCAATTTTAGCACTGACTTTCATGAGGTGATTTTTCTAAGTGTACATCTTTTTCTTTAAAGCATTCTAAAATTCCCTATCTCCCATTATTACTCACCCTGAGGATTATTCATATCCACAAGTTGCCCCTGAGGTATAATCACTTGTGTCATTCCTGTCTGGGTAGATGGAATTACACGAAGCATCTGTCCATTTTCTGATGAGCTGGCAACAATCATCTTGGATTCATTAAAAAAGAAATCAAATGCATAAGCCTATACTAATTTAAGAGTTATTACTTAAATCATTAAAGACATGCCTGTCTCTTTGGTCGATACTATTATTTCCCTCATTTTATAGATGAAAACACTGAGATACATAAAAATTTTTCCAAAGTCTCACAACTGTTAACTGTTGTGAGACTAGTTAAAGCTAGAATTCAAAACAGGAAGTTTGACCCTATGTCCTATGATCTTAACCACCTATGATCGTAGTCATTACACATGGGTGAGATCGAATGACTCAGTAATATGACAAGGCTCTGATTGTCATACTGTATGTCAAATGTATTAACTTTTTTATATTTATTGTCTTACCCATACATGTTTGTCCTATTTGTGTGGTAATCATCTATATTTTAAGTCATTTTATTAGTTAAAAAAAACAGTAACTTTTTAGATGCCTAATTAAACAGTATTTGTTTTTATATCTCTGCATTTATATATATCCTGTCTTGGTCTATAGGAAATACTACAAAGTTCCAAAAAATCTAAAAGCATAGAGAAAAGTATACACTATACTTTTTTTCAGGTTAATACTGAACCCATTGCCTTAAATTTAGAGGAATGTCAATGTGTGGGAGGCAACCAGTCAATGTGACTCTTGAATGTTTGACAAGAAATGCAAATTTTTAAATCTTCAAACACAAGTAGTAAAACTATATATACACACACACACACACACACACACACACACATATATATATATATATATATATATATATATATATATATATATAGTTAGTCCTCACCAGAGAATATTTTCTCTAGAGAGTGTGGAAGGAGGAGGTGGAGAGAGAGAGAAAGGGTGAGTGAGAGGGAGGGAGGGAGAGAGAAGAGAGACACATAGACTGGTTGCCCCCATAGCACCCCTGCAATGCAAGTATGTGCCTTTAACCAGGACTCGAACCTACGACCCTTTGGTGTGCGGGCTGACGCTCTAACCATTGAACACACTGGTTAGGGCTAAAACTCGTTCTTTATAAAATATACTCACCATTTGTGCATTAGAATCCTCCAATGACTGAAGTTCATATTGAATAGGTTGCCCATTTTGGTCCACTAGGTGAAATTGCTCTGCAGAAAGAGTCTGTGCCTGAGTCAGGGGCCCTGGTATATTCTGTGATGTGAGTGAATTATCTGCTTCATGAGTAGTGACGGGTAAAACTCTATCAGAACTATTTTGTCCAAAGGAAGGATCCCTGGAGTCGATACAGGTTGAATGCTTTGCAAAAAAATAATAAAATAAATAATCACTTGGATGTTTGTAAAACGTAACAATTTTTTAAAAAAAACAGAATGTTTATAATAAAAATGAAGACTTTTTTTCAGTTAATTATCCACTTTACATTGCAAAAGTTGTCAATTCACAGACTGATCAGATAGAAAGCAGTTCTTAAGTGAAACTGATTTTTATTATATTCAACCTCAAGTGATGAAATATAATTCAACATAAGGATTTCATGGGTATAAAATGTTATGAATATACAAAACTAAATATGATAGAATTGTGAAAAATGTTAAAATTCTTGAATACATTAAGTATAACAGTATTCCTTCAGCATAAAAAGTTGTTAAATGGCATGTTGTTTTCCCTTAGAATGGGAAAAAGTTCCCAGTTGAATCCCTACCTCAAATTACCTGAGAATCTGTTTTTGAATCTTCGGAATCATTATGGTTGACTATTAATGAATCATTAGACTGTTCCATGCTGACATCATGTTCAATTCCATTTTCTTCTATTATTTAAGAGCTGAAAGAGTTCAAATATCTGATCAATTAAAGCCTTAATGTTTTTACATAATTTATGTCTAAATCAAATCACTCACTTCCCCTACTCTGTTACCCTATACGATTTAGGTTAAGTCATTCCCACTCTATAAATAATAAACATTTTCGTTAAATGACTTGCCAAGGCACCAGAACATATTCAAGGCAGGAGATGATAGTGCTATGCAGTTCCTTCTTCCAATCTTTCCACTCACATACTGGCTTATTAAGATTGCTGTTATGTGGCATATACTGTTATACCCTTCAAATACTTCTAAAACTCTCATTTTACAAAGATGTAATAAAAGTAAAGCCTTTTAACTTTATGAGTTGGATGTACCATATTGTAGCATTAAATAATTTTAAAAAAGATCTCTTGGTATAGGTGGAGACTAGGTATACAGAACTCTCACCATAATATACAATCAGTCAAGCTTTGAAAATAAAGAAATATGTATTACAAAGTTTGAGCTACTAAGGCCTAGTACAGTGATTTTCAACTGTGGTGATTTTGTCTCCTTGCCTACTCCCCACCCGTCAAGGACATTCAGCAATGTCTGCAAACATTTTTGGTTGTCAGTACGGGGGCTGGGGAAGAGTGGAGGAGTGCTACTGGTATCTAATGGGATACTGCTAAAAATCTTAAAACGCACTGGACAGCCGCCACAACAAAAAGACCAATGTTGCTTAGGTTCACAAACTCTGACCTACTATATTGTAGTGAGTATAGGATTCTGTATTATCTAAACACACACACACACACACAAACACAGACACACACACACACACACACACACACACACAAACGTTTTATGTGTTAAAACTGGCGTAAGGTTAAAATGAAACTGGTAAAGAATACCATTGAAAATTTATAATATAAAGTAAATCTCATAGAATCTTTTTAAGAACCCACCATTTTATTTTTTAAAAGACAGCATAAATTTTTTTAAATCATTAAAATTTTATTTTTTCAATTAATATGCACTAAATTGAACTTTTCTATGTGTATATAATCTATGGATTTTAATACACATGTCCATGTAATCACCACCACAATCAGGATACACAATAATTTCATCACCCTAAATTCTAATTTAAATTTATACCTTGTATTTTAGATTTATTTAGTAGTATACATATTTGAATACATATTTTTCTGTGACAGTATGCAAATATTCATTTATAAAATTAACCATTTTTTAAAAATCTACAAGGTTAGCCATTTCATATTTCCAAAATATTGTAACTATTCTACCTCAAATATAAATTGTAATAGGCTATAAAATCACTCTTATTTTTAATATATAACTATGAAATATCTTTAAATTGCTTCTCCTTTAAGATTTTAAATTACTTGTATTATAATCTAATTTATTACCAAAATTCCAAAAAATTGTAGTTACCTCTCAAGCTATTAAGAGAAAAATTTTATTTTATAACTTTCTCAGATTGGCTTATTTGATCTCTTCAACAACCCTGTGATTCAGTTACTTTCTCCAATTTCCATATAAAAAATAAGACTCAGGCAATTACGTAACTTTACCAAGATTACAAATACATTAAGTGGCCAAACACTCAAATCCACATGTAGTGATCTCAAAGCCTACACTTCATTCTTATAACAGAAACTCTTTGGAGGTAACAAAGCTCCCTCCTTCCTTCACTAGTCCCTTTAAATATTTTTTTGATAGGTTAACAAATTAAAGATGCTAAAAGTTCTTTGTTCATTGTTCTCAACTTTTCCTTGGTTATAATTTAATTAGAGGCATTCCTAATACCCAAAAGCTCTCCAGCAAGAAATCTAAGATCTCTTACTTCACCAGAAAACTGAGCTCTAATTATGCAGGCATTGCCCACTGAGAAAACATCCTGTAAATAGATTCAAGAGTTAAAAACTACAAATAGCTAAAGGGCAAGAATTCTAAAAACTTACTCTTCTCTTCCTAAGGTGCCTGGTCTTATTACAAATTATCCCTTCTGGACTAAAATTTCTTTTCATTTATTTAATTTCTCTTACCCTAACTTAAATTTCATCAATGAAATTTATTTTAGAGAGAGGTAGGGAGAGGGAGAGAAATATTGATTTGTTGTTCTACTTATTTATGCATTCACTGGTTGCTTCTTGTATGTGCTCTGACTGGGATGGGACTAGCAACCTTGGTGTACAGGGATGACACTAACCAACTGAGCTACCCGGCCAGGGCTCATCAATGACATTTTCATTGGAGTTAATAAGCATTTCCTCTCAAAAAGAAAACTTTGGAAAGAGTAGCAGTCATTAACAAATTTGTGTTAATTTACATAAAGATAGCTTTCTTCCTTTAAGTTAAAAACAGCTACTGTGAAAAGTTCAGAGGTGAGACAGCAAGTACATCTGAGTCTCAGAGCACTAATTTAAAAAAAAAGGGGGGGGGGGGGATACAGCAGGCCTGAGCTAGATGCTGCAGTGAGGATGTAGGGCAGGATGAACGCCCCGGAAGTGCACTCACAAAGAGGTGGGTGGTGTTAAAACTAGGAAGATTGCCAAACATAAACCACTTACTTCCGAACTTTGCCCAGACTGGGATTTTGCCAATGGAAGAAAGGTACCTTATTTTTCTAATGTCTTCTGGGACCTCAAAACTCAAAAATTTCCTTTCAGTATATACTACAATATACCTATCCTATGGGTTAGTATCACTTTTTCTGATGACACTGGGAAAATACTACTTAAAGTAGTTTCTATACGTAAAATTGGGTTTCAATATCTCTTGACCTAACCCACTGCTGAACTGGAAATTAAAAGTACATTTTTAAGATACCGATAACCTTTTTTTCCATTGATTTTGTTGTTGTTGTTAATCCTCACCCGGACAGGGGTGGAGCTGGAACCTGAAACCCAGGTACAAGCCACTGTTTTAAAAAATAACTTGAATGCAGTGTAAAGTATTACTCCTTCCTTCCCTAATCGTTCTAAGCAATGTGCATTGCCTTTTATCATGTCAAAGTAAAGGTTTTTTTAAAGAATGAGGATATTAATATCAAATATCTAGGTATAAAATGTTCTTTGCCAACAAGTAACCATAAACATAACAAAGTACCTATATAGAAAGTGTAAGGCAATGGTTCTCAACCTTCTGGCCCTTTAAATACAATTCCTCATGTTGTGACCCAACCATAAAATTATTTTCGTTGCTACTTCATAACTGTAATGTTGCTACTGTTATGAATCGTAATGTAAATATCTGATATGCAGGATGGTCTTAGGCGACCCCGGTGAAAGGGTCGTTCGACTGCCAAAGGGGTCGCGACCCACAGGTTGAGAACCACTGGTGTAATGTGCCTTTTCCCTTAACTCATAATAGACAATTGTGAACTTTTATGACAGCTGTTGCTTTCAATTAGTTAAAAATAAAATTATTACCTTCAGGAAGTAGCTCAAATTTAAATTCCAGGCCTCAAGCATCCTACTACCCCTCAAAATGCCCTCTTGTCCACTGAAGTTCATCCTTTCTGCAGCACTAAAATCATGACAGTAGTAGCTTCATTTATATGAGAGATATAATTATGTCTTCATAGCAGCATTTTTTTCTGTAATGAGAACATATTCAATGTTTATCTTATTTTCCTACATATAAAGAAAAATACTAGATTTTGTTATACAGGTCTATTATAAAATAGCCATTGTAAGCCTGGTATAGTGGAACCATCAGTTAGACTCAATTAACAAGAACTGAAGGCTAGAACTGACTTTACTAGAATTGCCCTTGTCTTGTGGTAGGTGATCTAACTTCTGTTTCTTTATATAAAACCAGACATTTGGACTTAGTTTTTGTCTCAACTCTCACATTTTAGAACTACTGAAACAAAGACCTCCACAGCAGATTACATTTTTGTCCACAATGAAAGTATTTACTAATGGAGCACAGCAACTTTTGAAGCTATAGAAGCTATAAAGCCCTCCTCCCCATACCCCACTCCCAGTAATATCCTGGAATTGATTTGACAAGCTTATTTCTTAATCAAGTAGTATTGGGCTTGGATAAGAGAAGAGAAAAGAGAAAGTATTGAATATATACTACATGTAGTTAATGACTGGACTTCAGAACACACGCTAAGGCATTAAATTCTGCTGGCAAATTGCTTTCTAAAATGTTTCACAGTCCATTAAAAAAGTGGATAGATTAGGAAGAAAGTGTTAGAAGTTGTTTTAATTTACAGTTTACACATATTTCATACATGGTAGAGGGAAAGTGACTCTTCAGGCTACAGTCACTCACATCTCTGTGGACCATGTTTGGGCTACTGCTGTTTTGATTTTACTCACCTGCATTTCTAATTGTTCAAAAATTTAGAGGCAATTCTCAGCTGCAATTTCTAAATATCTGTCTTAATATCAAATTATTCTGTGGTTGTTGTTTTTTTTTGCCCATAGGCTTTTGTGTAAAGGTATCCATTAAAGCCAACAGTCTGAAATAAATCCCCAAAGAGGTTACCGTTAGGCTAAAGAATAAAGCCACTTGAGGTTTACTCTTAAGAGTTTCTTTTAATTCTATGTACCTTGATTAGTCTCAAGATTTAAAGGATCTTGAAAGCTATTAAATATCAGTGTCAGATCTTATTAACTACATCTTAAAAATATTGCTCGAGCCCTGACCGGTTTGGCTCAGTGGATGGAGCGTTGGCCTGCAGACTGAAGGGACCCAGGTTCGATTCCAGTCAAGGGCATGTACCTTGGTTGCGGGCACAACCCCAATAGGGGGTGTGCAGGAGGCAGCTGATCGATGTTTCTCTCTCATTGATGTTTCTAACTCTCTATTCCTCTCCCTTCCTCTCTGTAAAAAAAAAAAAAATCAATAAAAATATATTTTAAAAAATATTGCTCAAAAGTACTCTAGAAAATATCTTTCAACTTTTAGGGTAGGTAAATGACAATGTGCCTTTTATGATCTATACAAAATTAATACAAATCAGTGGTGTCAAAATTAAATCAAGACTACTAGTTCACAAATATTTTATAGAATAATTTAATTTTTTAAAGGTGGGTGAAAGTTATAGCATGCTAAATCAACATCAAAAATTTAAATGTATGCAAATTTATATAGAAACCATAACCTATTTTAACTTCTTTTTTGCAGTGAAAAAAATAATTTAAGGCTAGTATTCAGTGTCTCTTTTACCTAAGATTTGTTCTTCCTATAAATTTCCTTGTAATCTTGGTTTCTATCCATTTCCTGTATATACACACCTCTTCTTACCTCTTTGCTCTTTGAGAACTTCACAAATTATTTCATGTAATCCTCACAATGACTCTGAGGCAGATTTTATTATCTCTATTTATAGGTAAGAAAACCAAAATTCTCAAGTAACTTCCTTAAGATCACAGAGAGCATTAGAGCTCAGATTCCAAACTAGGAGGAAAAAAACAAAAACCCAGAACAATTTGGACTCCAAAGCCCTAACTGTCTTTATACCATACCACATCATATCATCATATACATTTAAAAAAAAACAAAAAAACACCCTATAATAAAAAAAAACACCCACCAAATATATTCCAAGCTGTTGTTCCCCAAATGACAATGTGTCTTCATGAGGACTGTAGTAAATGAATCATGTAGGAAATCATTAAGAACCAAAAACTTGCAGTTAATATTCTAAGTAAACTTAAGGAAAACACTCAAAGAAAAAACACTAACTACCTTAGGTATTGCATGGAGACAACACCAAATATAAGACATGTCACTGCTGAAAACATACCAAAGCCATCATACTGGGTGTTTACTTAATTTTTGGAATACCTGTTAACTAGTTTTTCCTTAAAGTTCTCAGTCAAATGAAAAATGTATTTTAATGGATTCAATATTTCTGCATTGACAATTCAAGTTTTATCTCATTAAGCCTTCAGGTTCTGTATCTTATTTTTTACACATATATATTTTTTCATTGATTTCAGAGAGGGAGAGAGAAATAGAAACATCAATGATGAGAGGGAATCACTGATTGGCTGCCTCCTACTGGGGATTGAGCCCACAATCCCAGCATGTGCCCTTGACCAGAATCCAAGCATGACCTCCTGGTTCATAGGTCTATGCTCAACCACTGAGCCACCCGGCCGGAGTTTCTGGTATTTTTCATTCAAATTAAGAGCAACCTATATATTGATTCTTACCAGGTACTGTATTTTTTATTTTGATAAATTTAAATCAATACTTTAAAATGTATTAATCTACTGATTAACCATACGTTTTTAAAGGTATTTTGAGCAATAAGATATCAATAATTTTAAAATTATCTGAAAAATAACTTTTTTGAAGATTTATTTGAGGTTCAATGACATTGAATTCAGGTAACTTTAACTGCTGTAACTCAAAAATCACTAATGGTTAAAGAATGACGTTTAAAACTGTCAAACTTCTACCCACTGCCACCAAATGAATGAATGAAACAGGGAGACCTCAACTAAGCAACTGTTTCAAGCCTCCGGTAGTCTGGCTTCTTCGAGGAATGCCATTCTCACCATTACGATGGGTCGCATGATGACCTGACCACCGCTTTAGTTGCCAGCCCCGTCCTTTCCTGGGACTTCCGCACAGAGGTTTTATTTATTCCTCTTACCAGGAGGCGATTCCTACTTGTTCACGTTGGCAGAGCGAGTGTGATTGGCATCTAAATGACAACGACGGTAACCATGGCTAACACTAGGCGCATTTAGTTCTTACAGCCGGCCCGGGTGTGGCACAGAGGTGCACACGAACCGGGGTGAGCCAAAGGGGGCGCGCAGTGGTCTGCAGGGACCCAGCATGCACGTCGGGAGCATTCCGACAGCTTTAGCGGCTTCGCCCCCGCCCCAAGCAGCCGAGGCGGCGTCAGGACCCAGGCACGTGGTTCCCAAACAGCCCTCGGGTCGCCGTCGCTGCCCGCCAGTAACAGTCTGGTTCTCGCTTGCAATCACTTCTCATATTCTATCGGACGCCCATCTAATGAAAGTGCATCTCTAACTTTTTTTTAAAGGAGAGCTTTAGTTGTCTTCACCTGTGCACACACCGCTCTGCCCCCAAATTTTGCAATCCAGCTCTGCCCGATGCTGGCCTGCTGTTTCTTGGAGCTTTCCTGGCGGACGCCTCAAAAAGCGACTGAAATCTCAATAGTAGAGGATCTCTCCACCCATCCATCCTCCAAAAACAGCTACATTTAATTAGAATAATTCTCGGTCACTGATAAGACATGAGCCTTCTGGGTAACGTAGACCCCAAAAAATAAAAAAGCGGAGGTGGTGTGGGAAGACGCCTTTCCCCTTTTAAATATTAGATATAAAGGGGCTCATAAAGAGAGAAAAAACAAAAACCCGAACCCTAAAAACCAGGACCAGGGGCTGCGCGGAGGGCCACACACGGGGCCCTTCCCCGCGGCGGCGGAACGTCCTCGGCTCAGCGACCCTCCGCAGGGCGCCGAGCCTCCCTCCCCAGCGGCCTCCCCGGGACCCGCGAGCCTCCCCCCGGGCAGGGGGCGGAAGGCCTCGCCACGGAGGGCCCCGGAAAGGCCCCGAGGCGGGTCCGACGGTCGCCACCGAGGTCCGGCGGTTGCTTAGGGACCGGGAGGGTCAGGAGGTGATGGGAGGAGGAGGCGGCGGCGGGAGGAAGGGGGGGGGGGGAAGCAGCGTCCGGTCCGTCCGCGCAGACAGCTCCGCCATACCCCCACCTCCCCCAGTCCCGCCGCCGCCGGGAGCTCTACGGGGCGAGGAGGGATGTCCACGGAGCGCCGGAGCAGAGGGGAGAAAATCCAAAACGAGTCTACTCAACCTCGCCTAGGCTCCGAGGCCCCGCCATGGAGACCGGCACAGTGCGCAGGCGCGGCCCCGCCCAGAGCGCACAGCGCGGGCCGGAGAGGAGGCCACCGTCGGCCACCGTCGTCCGTTCCCACTCGGATTGCGTTCCTTTTTTTCCCCCCTGTAGTTCCTTTCTCTCATCTGGATTTAAAACTTGAAGCTAGAGGCGAGAGCCCACGAATAGTCTCGGCAGAGTGACTCTGCTTGTGAGTATGCGTGGTCAAATAAACGCGGAACGGCTTTAGTAAATTAAAGCTGGAACAAAGAGGAAATATAATAAATATCTGGCTGGAGTCGGGATGGTTTAATAAAAATGAGGGGGAAAAAAGCATTCCAGACAAAAAAAAAAATTAATCTCATTATGCAAGTAAGATATCCTGAGGGCAGGGTGGCAAAAAGAGACTACGATTCCCAGCAGTTACAGCGTCTGAGAATCGCTGCTTTCTGGGGGTTGTAGTATCTGGGACCCGAGTTTGAAATATCGGATCTAAAGTCACCCTGTTATGTAATAAAAGGGAAGGCGAGAGAGAAGCAGATTTGAAGTGGGCCTGTCTGTGTCTTCACACTCGATCCCAGGCCTAACTATATGAACAGAACTCCCTGGAGATGAAAGGGACGCTGTGTCTTTAAGGCTCGGCCGCCCTAATCGCTGGCGCCTCATCCGGGAATCCGTGGTTGATGTGTGCGGCCTGGGCGCGGGGCGGGCGCCGCGTGGTGGTGGAGGAAGCGGGGTCCCGGCCCTGGTACAGGGTAATTGTGAGCCGCCTCTTTTTGTAAACCCGAGGGACCGGCGCTCGGAAGAGGGGCTTGTCGGACCGTTACCCCCCGCGTCTCTGTGGGCCAGTTTGCTGTGCACCCCCGCGATGGCCCAGCTCCAGACCCGCTTCTTCACTGACAACAAGAAGTGAGTACGCTGCGCCCCTCGCCCTTTCTGGGGGTCCTTTGCGAGGACTCCTTCCGCGTGACCCTGCGGGTCCCTGCCTTTGCCGCACTCACTTTTACACCCCCGTCCCCCACCCCCACCCCCACCCCCCGCTCCTGTTTTCGCTGGACTCCTCGCTGGACCGTGTTTTCCGCCCAAGCAGCTCGGGGGTTCCTCCGGGACCCACCTCTGGTATCGCCATTTAAATTGTGACCGTGGAGGAGCCGGAGGGCTGCGGGGCTGCCTCCAGCAGGAGGCACATTGTGTCATTGGGCCGTGAACCAAGTCCTTGCAGGCTGTCTGCCCATGATGTGTCCGTTTCTGAAAACACAGCTTCATTTTCTTTTTAAGTAGGTGGTAGACGCTGTTTTCCTAAACCAGGAAGAAAGTGGAGCTCTGAAGAGGGGGTTGGTAAGACTGGGAAGTCATTCGGGTTACAGATTTGTGAATATATATATATATGTATATATCTGTGTATACATACGTGTATATATAAACATTTTTAACAACAGTCCCCAGGTCTGTAGCATTCATTTGAAACCTAATCACATCCTGCCTTATGGTGTGTTTGTAGCTTTTTGAGCCGACCTGGCAATTAATTTTGTTAATCCCAGGCAGCAAAATGTCTGACATGTAGTAGATCCCAGTGACCCACTGGATGTTTGTTGAATGAATGAATGAATGAATGCACATTTGTTAAGATAATCTGTGGACATAATCTTGATGTTTCGTTTCTGTTTCGTAGATATGCAGTAGATGATGTTCCCTTCTCAATCCCTGCAGCTTCTGAAGTTGCTGACCTTAGTAACATCATTAATAAATTGCTGCAGGCTAAAAATGGTAGGTAACATGTTCTGAAAAGTTACCACTAACTCCAGTAAATTCCATCACACTTTTATTTCCTTATTTTGGTCTTATTTTATAATACTGCATACATTTTATAATGCTAAAATTTATAAATTGTAATATATGGGGTTCCCTGCTGATACTTTTTAAAAAATGCTTTGAAATAAAAGTTTCAAGAAAAAAATACTTTTAGGACTAAGGAGATAAGGTGGTTGAGATTTGGGAATACAGATTTTAGTGTAATAGTTGTGATGTAAAGGTAATCAAGACATTGTGACTGTGCTGAAGACGGCCGAGCTGGGTTGGCAGAGAGCAAACATCTGGATGCTTCGGCCCCACCTGCTACACTTCTACAAAACGGAATAACAAATGCCAGTGTTCATACTGGTATTTTTTTTTAACTATTTAAGATTCATAAGAATGGGTAAAACATTTAAAAACATGTAAGAGTATCAAACCATTTATAAAGATACAAATATTAAACATAATGCTGGGTGAATATAAGTTTTTAGCCCATAAAATTAATATAAACAATGTGTGCAACAATATTGATTCAACAAGATTGGCCATAAATTGATCATTGGAGTTTTATGATAGGTATATGAAGATTTATTATAAAGTTTATTCTCCATTTTTGCATATATTTGAATTTTTCTATAATAAGATGGTTTTTAAAAAGTAAAATCACACATGAAATAGAAGATGTAAACACTTTATTCCAGAGAAACTCAGTGGCCACACTGGGATAATAGGTACCTGTTTGTTGTGGAGTCTCATATACATCTCTGCCAATACCACTTCAGGTCCTCAGAGTGATGGTTTTATTATGTGTTTTCTTTAGAGGTCCACAAACATGTGGAGTTTGATTTCCTTATCAAGGGCCAGTTTCTACGAATGCCCTTGGTCAAACATATGGAACTGGAAAACATCTCATCGGTAAGTTCAAATGCATACTTGCTCTATTTTACTCAAGTTATTACCAGATAATGAAGGTAAACTCCATTTAGAATCAGGCTGAATCTATGGTAACCGGTATCCTTTTGATTATTTTTTTTCTTAGAAATTTGAATTTCAGTTTTTTATATACTCAAGTTTGAAATCCTCTCTTCTGAGAGTATATTATTCAAGAAATACAGATGAATGAATATGGAAAGATACCTTCATATCTGTGGAAGAATGGTCAAAAAAGGCAATAGCAAATATATATTTAGTTCTCATAAAGGTGTACAAAATGATTGTGCACCTAGAACAACTTTTATAGCTTAGGGCTATTGTGATTTAAAATGATTTTTCTACCCTCTAATTTTCAAACATATTAATATTGCTTTTATCATTTAAAATATAATTTGGGGGGGCAATTTTTAGGACTGTGGTAAAATACATATAAAATTTATCATTTTAACCATTTTTTAAGTTTATAATCTAGTGGCCATTAACTACATTCACAATATTATGCAACCATCACCACTATTCATTTCCAAGACTACTACTTCATCCTAAGTAGAAACTCTGTATCCATTTAACACTGCTTTTGTGATTTTATAATTTAAAGTTTCTTATATTTTTTTTTTTTTTTTTTTTTAATTAAATCTTTATTGTTCGGATTATTACATTTGTTCCTCTTTTTTTTCCCCCCATAACTCCCCTCCTCCCAGTTCCCGCCCCACCCTCCGCCCTCACTCCCCACCCACTGTCCTCATCCATAGGTGCACGATTTTTGTCCAGTCTCTTCCCGCATCTCCCACACCCCTTTCCCCCGCAGGAATAGTCAGTCCATTCCCTTTCTATGTCCCTGATTCTATTATAATCAACAGTTCATTCTGTTCATCAGATTATTTATTCACTTGATTCTTAGATTCACTTGTTGATAGATGCATATTTGTTGTTCATAATTTGTATCTTTACCTTTTTCTTCCTCTTCCTCTTCTTAAAGGATACCTTTCAGCATTTCATATAATCCTGGTTTGGTGGTGATGAACTCCTTTAGCTTTTCCTTATCTGTGAAGCTCTTTATCTGACCTTCAATTCTGAATGATAGCTTTGCTGGATAAAGTAATCTTGGTTGTAGGTTCTTGGTATTCATCACTTTGAATATTTCTTGCCACTCCCTTCTGGCCTGCAAAGTTTCTGTTGAGAAATCAGCTGACAGTCGTATGGGTATTCCCTTGTAGGTAACTGAGTTTCTTTCTCTTGCTGTTTTTAAGATTCTCTCTTTATCTTTTGCTCTTGGCATTTTAATTATGATGTGTCTTAGTGTGGTCCTCTTTGGATTCCTTTTGTTTGGGGTTCTCCGCGCTTCTTGGACCTGTAAGTCCATTTCTTTCACCAGGTGGGGGAAGTTTTCTGTCATTATTTCTTCAAATAGGTTTTCAATATCTTGCTCTCTCTCATCTTCTGGCACCCCTATAATTCTGATGTTGGTACGCTTGAAGCTGTCCCAGAGGCTCCTTACACTATACTCGCATTTTTGGATTCTTTTTTCATTTTGCTTTTCCGGTTGGGTGTTTTTTGCTTCCTCGCATTTCAAATCATTGACTTGATTCTTGGGCTCCTCTGGTCTGCTGTCGGGAGTCTGTATAATATTCGTTATTTCAGTCCGTGTATGCTTAATTTCTAGTTGGTTCCCCAATATAAGATCAAGGGTCTTATTAGTTTTCTTGTAGATCTCATTAAGTTTATCGGCGGCTTCTAAACAGTTCTTGAGAGACCTTAAAAGTGTGGTTCTGAACTCTATATCTTCCATTGACAATTTTGTCCTGTTTCTTTGTCTCCGCATTTTGTTATGCTTCCTTGGTGCACCCCCTAGTGGTCTTTGTTCGCAGTCTTATAGTTAAATCTTGATTGTTGTAGCTAATTCCAGGGAGGGTTTGACCTCCAGGCCAAGTGGCTATGAGAATCAGCTGTGTCAGCAGTGAGAGAACTTCTGTCCTCTAGGGAGGTGCTAATCTGGCGTTTGCCTGAGGCTATCCGACAAATGCCTGTGTGCAGGGCTTGGGCGGGGTGGGTCGCACAGGATCAACAGGGTGGGCCGGAGAGAGCAGTTATGGAGGCTCTCAGTCCTGTCCCCAGGGGCTCTGCCTCCCTGAGTCCCAGCACCCGCTGCAAAGCTCAGAGAGAAAGCTGCACTCGCTCTGACCGAAGCCAGACAGTCCCGCTTCTCCCGTTTGAGTCTGGGTCCCTAAAGATTCGCCCGGATC